ATTTCCATCACCTTTGATGTATAAATTTACTACAAAATTTTCTGGTATGTCACTTAGTTGAACACTTTAAGTAGTTTATTTAAAGTTTACACTGCTCATATTGACTCTTAGCTATAACTTGTTCATAAAGTTTAGCTCATGTTTGGCCAGATCTGCGTATATAGCGTGTACTTACATAAATATGTATAAGGTGTAATGTAAAAACTTGTTTTCAATCGGAGATTTGTGGAGTAGTAAACAAGTTTGTAGGGGTGACCTTTTAATTGACCTTTTAAATGCAAATACTCACCTATATTTGTAGGCCTACATACTAGTGGAAGATATTTAAGAATCATTAGATATAGATTTGGGAATGGCAATACTTTTCCATAAAATCACATAAGCATTATAGTTAATATTTATTTTACATTATTTTATTATAATTTATTTTATTTATGATATTTTATATTGTTTACAGTATTTTGTCTTATTTTTCATTATTTTTTACTTTATTTCAGCTTATTTCATTTTATTTTATTTTATCTCAAACTAATTTTATTTTGTTCTATTTTATTCTATTTTATTATAATTTATTTTATTAATGTTATTTATCTTATTTTATTTATTTTATTTTATTTTATTTTACTTTATTTTATTAAATATTTTTTTTAATTATAATTCAATTTATTTTATTTAATGATAATTTATTTTAAATTTTTATTTTGCTTAATATTATTGAAAGTATTTTATTTGTTTTTTTATTTTATTTTATTTAATTTTATTTTTTTAATTCAAATTAATTTTATTTTATTTTATTTTATGTTATATTTTATTATTTTATATTATTTTATTTTATTTAACTTTATTTAGATTATTTTATTTTATTTTATATTAATTTATATTATGTCATTTTATTTAATTTGATTTTTTAATTTTAATTTATACTATTTTATTATAATTTATTTTATTTATGTCACATATTTAATATTATTTAAAGTATTTTATTTTTTTATGTTATTTTATTTTACTTTATTTTATTTCAAATTAATTTTATATTACTTTATTTTATATTATTTTATTTTATTTTATTTTATTTTAATTATATATGTTATTTATTTTATATTATTTAAAGTATTTTATTAGTTTTTTTTATATTTTATTTTATTTTATTTTTTTTGTGTTTTTTTATTTTATTTCAAATTAACTTTATTTTATTTTAATTTATTTTCTTTTTTTGTGGTTTATTTTGTTTTGTTTTATTTATTTTACTTTGCCTCATTTTATTTGACTTAATTTAATTACATTTTTTTTATTTGTTTATGTTTTTTATTTTAATTAAGTTATTAATTTAATTATATGTCATTTTGTATTATATTATTTTATTTTATTATGTTTTAATATAATTTTTTTATTTTATTTTGTTTCACTTTATTTTCTTTTACTTTATTTTTTGTTTTTTTTTTTTATTTTTTGGCCCGTTTTATTTTATTATTTAGAGTATTTTATTTGTTTTTTTTATTTTAATCACATTTTTTTATTTGTTTATGTTTTTTATTTTAATTAAGTTATTAATTTTATTATATGTCATTTTGTATTATATTATTTTATTTTATTATGTTTTAATATAATTTATTTTATTTTATTTTGTTTCACTTTATTTTCTTTTACTTTATTTTTTATTTATTTTTAATTTTATTATTTAGAGTTTTTTATTTGTTTTTTTTTTATTTCTTAGATTTTATTTGTATTTTTTATATTTTATTTTATTTCGATCATCGGCGTTTTATCTAATCTATGTAAGTGCTCAGCCAATTGCTGTGCCAGTTAAAGACAAATTACTAACGCACTTTTGCTCTGATTACGTGCAATGCACACAAATTAAATTTAGAAAACAAATGTAATGAAAGAAACGTACACAAAATATTTTCTACCTTCGTTTAGTTTCGCCAAGCATTTCAGTAGCAAGACATTCAAATCAATTGAAATCACTTTCAAATCAAATACAACATTTGACACACTTAACATACTATAGAGAAATCAGTGGAACAGCCACAGATTAAATTCGGAAACATACACTTTTAGAAAATGAGAAATACATTCCCATATACACCAGTACACAGAATTGGATATATATATATTACTTTAACAATTTATTTTTATCAAGGTGTTTGCATTGCAAGCACATATATATTCTTTTTTATATTACTTTCTAATTAAATTTCGGATTTAATTGTTTCTAAATATTCCAAAATTCTAGTTCGTGTTGCTTTAATCAAAAATTTACATAAAATGGAGTCCACTCAAATAAAGCTTCGTGAGTTGTATAGAATTCCAAAATCGTTTATGAAGTCGTAAAAATATTCATTAGATCACATTTGGCTTTGTGGTGAGCTGAAACTTGACTATGTAAACATATATAAATATATAAACACAGACATTTACGTTTATGTTCAAGAAATATGTCAGTAAAAGTACATGCCTGCACGGAAATTTATTTTTTTAGTGAAATCAAAATTCAGTGCATTAGTTACTTTTCCAGTGGAAAAGATTCAACCATCAACGAGTACATAGTTTTGGCGAGATATGTAAATTGAAACCGGAAGGTTAGAAACAAAGCTCTAGGTTTGAGGTTAGATTTTTGCCGTAGTTAAATTTTTTTTATGAACCGTTATTTTTACAGCAACTTTACTTGTAATGTTTTGAGAAATGATGAACAATTAATATTTCACAAAACTCCGCGGTATTAAAAACAAAAATTACCAGTAGCACCCAGAAAAGGAGGTTGGAATATGTAGTAGTCGCGCTGGAGGCCAATACATGTAGCTTTTCCAGTATAAAATTGAAGCAAGCTTTACTTGCTATAAACATAAAATTCCAATTTAAATTCAATGCGCTTCAGTTTTTATATTACGTCGGTTTCTTACTTTTGGTTTATCAAAAAAAAAATTAATTGAAAAATATTTAAACTTTGAAAAGCATGCTTGAAAGAATTATTGCTTAACCAGTAAAACAAGATGTTTAGAATTAAGCATATTGATTTTTATTAAAAAAATTAAATAAAATAAAATAAAGTAAAATAAAGGTACTGTATGCTTATTTGCATAAGAAACTTGTTCGTTGTGGTGTGGCGCAACCAGTTGCATCGTAAAGCACCAACTACGGTTTGGATGGATAATTACTTGTTTGAAATTCTTCTATTGCTGTAAATATAACTTAATTAAAATTGATAAAAATTAATAGTGATTAATAAATTAATAAATTTTAAACATGTTTATGTGTATTATTTACATATGTATGTATATTAGATTCGCATTGTGGAGAATTTCTTTGGCTGAAAAAAACAAAATTATATAAATCAGTGAGAATAAAATCTTAAAAGAAATTTAAGGAGTTTCTGGTATTTTGTTTTACGAAATTTTCAACACTTAATGCAGTGCACGTAACTCGAGCGCAAATGAGTTAATTTACAAAATGTCCCAATGCACCTGCAAGAAGTTGCCAACAAGAAAGAAATTCCACACCTGAATTTCACACAATAGCATAAGAATATTGAAATAAACTGATTCGAAATTGTCATCTCTTGCATTCTTAAAATATTTTGCGTTCATATCTTCACACTTATGTAGCGCGTCGTCTTCACACTATAAACAATTGTCATTTCGGAGGCACCACTTCGCCAGCTGGCATTGTTTCATGCACCGCATTATGATCAATATTCCGGAGCGTAAATGACAGAGAACTGTTACAATTCTCATGCCAAGGTATGAATTGCTGCGCGCGCATAAACAAAAGAGTTAGGCGTCATATAAGTACTGTCATTTTTGTGCGTTCACACAATTTTCCAAGTAATTTGTTATTTTTAGCACTCAAAAAAAAAAAATTTTTGCATTGTATGTAATATTCGTAATGCTTTTTTAAAACCAAAAAAAAAAAATTTAATTTAAATTCGATTTGAGTTCAATAACCCAAAATCGATGGTTGATAATTTGGTAGTCATAAGTTCTGTTCGTTAATATGTTTCTACGCCTTTGCCACTGACTTTTTATTGTTGCCAGCTAATGTTTTTTGCGCCATTTTTCAATTTGTCATCTGTATTTTACTTGCATTTATTTTGCTTTTTTCTGCTTCAATAACATGTAGGTGTTTCTACATTTGCCTGTATGTGGTTCTTTACCTACTAATGCTACTTGATCTCTTATATATGTACATTTTCAGTTGACACCACCAATTTGTTTAAGTAAATATTTGTGTTTCGCAAATGAGTCCAACTGAGATGAAATATGACCTCAATACATATTTTTTTGCCATTTATGTTGTATTTCGCTTACAACTAACAAATATAGAACCAACTTTCATTTCCCATTCGAAAGTGTGATTGATATTCCATTTATTTTTTTTCAAAACTTTTTCACTCAACAAATTTTTCATTTTTCAAAAGATTTTTAATTAAATTAAAAAAAAGCAATTTTCAAATGGCGGTTACAGTGAATGGTCTTAATTTAAAACAGACCAAAAAATTCTCAATACGAAATTATAATAAATAATATAATATCATAATAGCAGTTTTTGATGACTTGGCCGAGTTCTTCCCCTAATTTGTGATTTTTCGTCTTGATGTTTTTCCAAAAAATGGAGAGACCAGTTTACAGTTTATACTAAGCCGCCTCCGAACGGCTGAGGATTTTTTATGAGGAGCCTTTGTATACATACCTTGGCGACGGGCGACCGCAATTAGAAAATTTAGATTAATTTTTTATTTAAATTAATTTTTTCTATTATTTTTTGGCTAAAAGTACGATACCAGCATTTGAACCCGAGTCTTTCGAATGGCAGCACGCAATGCTAACCACTCGGCTACGGCGGCCACCGGTAATCAATTATATTAAAATTTATTTCAGAAAACATTTCATTTTCTCTATAAAAAAAATATTGTATTTTAAGTAAATTATCAATAATTAATAGTGTTACATTTTCGAAATAGCAATTAATACACATTACCAATTTTCATATCTTTCTTACAGATTTATTGTGATTTTACTTTCTATCTTGAAGACTGAAAAGCTTCGGCTTTTACATAACGGCCACAAAATACTGCCAACACGCAAACGTAGTTCACAACAACAAAGTGTTAACAAAATGATTTCGCGTCGAAAAATTATATCACGTTCCCTCGACAATCTAGATATGATACCGAATGTCGAAGAGGAAGAGGATGTTTGGTATAACAAAGAGAAATTGTTTAGGGTAAGAAAGAAATGATGTTAAAAATGATGTTAAAAAATATTATTTATAATTTCAAAAATGTTATGCGCCACCAATGAGAAATTTTAATGTAATCCATTTCTGTTGCATTGTAAACAGGATCACATAAACGAAGTACTCAGCAAATGGGGGCAGATCGATGATGAAATATGGGCAAAGGTGATAGTGTTCGAAAAGAATCGACGAGTGGCCAAGGCATATGCTAGATCGTCGGTGATCACCATAAATGGTGGCAAAAATGGCTTTGATGGTGTGAGGTGAGTACATTGGTGAGTAAACGGTGGAAAGGCAAGACGGTAACTAATATTCTTGCATTACATTTTTTTAGAATTGGTCTCAGTGGTTTTGAGAATCCGATGCGTGATGCCGATACAAAATTAGTGAAAAAGTCAGTTGGAGAGGGATTCAAAATAAAAATGGATGATATTGGTAATATACTAATTAAACGTTATGGCAAAAGTAATGTCTTCGTGCATAATACATCAATGGCCAATGAGGAAACCGTTATTGGTGGTGATATACTACAAATGCCAAATATGGGACTAACGGCAGGTACTTCAGCCAAGGTATGCTTCATTAATAAGGTTAAAAAATTATTATCATTAATTGCAAATGTTTACTTTTTCTATAATGGAATATGCATAACAGCTCTTCGACATGCGAAAATATACGACAAATATAAATCGTGAATTCTCCCGCTCCTATCCCGAGAGTAGACGCTTGGAACGACAATGTTTGTCAGCCATTTCATTAGTCAAATCCAATAACAATCTAATCAATAACCCGCTTTGGATTCTGGTCATAAATATAGTCGCTATTGATATGTTAAAGAATCGCTTACAGACACTACCCAAGTCGGTGGATGCGACGGGTATGCGTGTGCCAATAGCGGGTAGCGAAGATCCATATTCAACGATTGAGAGTCAGGTTGGACTTATATATCCCACTCCTGCCGCCTCCGATGATTCAAACAATTCAAATAATTCGAATAATTCAAGTCAGTCGAGCAAGGGGCGGCGTAGCGTTTACAATGGTGGATTCCTCGATGAAAGTCCATATGTGCCAAAGGTATGTGGTATATATATTTGAATTCAATTTTTATATTGTAGTTTGTTTGTGTTAAGTATTGGGTTCGGCCATTCCATATTAAATGCAACAGACTTCGGTTTTGCTCCAATCTTATGCTAAAAACTGGCAAAAATCGTCGTATAAGATTTTAAAAAATTAAAGTATCTCTAGAAGTTATGGATGTGGCGGAAAGAGAGAAAATTTTGAAAGTGCTGATATAAAATAGGTCATAAGTTAAAGCTAATGTATTGGGTTACATAAATTTAAGAATTTGCGAAAAAAAATTTCTTTTTTGGAAAACATTTATAATTTCTCAACACTTTTTATTAAACATTAGCAAGTTAAAAGGAAATAAATTAACTTTAACAATATATTATTTCGAAATAAGGTCTCAAAAATTCTTGAAAACAGTGTTTGAAGTCATCAAAATAACACAGTTCCCTGAAAACACAATTTTTCCCACAGAAGAGTTTGCATTTGCCAACATCACATCAAATTATCGTCACTAACACATTGCCAGGCTCGACAAATAGCCAAAAGTCAAACAATTTCTGATTTTTTTTTGTTGTTTGTTGTCAGTTTCAGCGAATTTTTCTTGTGTTTAATATCGAATGGCTGCATCGAGCTTCTGTTTATAAATATGTATGTGCTGTACCATGGCATTAAAGTTTTTTGTTGTTGTTATTCAATAGGTTATTCAATAATTTAAGTTATATATATAACCGCTAAATCGAGTTTCGGCAGACCACATTTTCCAATTCGTGTTGAATTTCTTAATATTTGTCCAAGAAATTTGCAAAACTTCCAGTTTTTCCTAAGTCACGTGCAAACGAATAATAGATTTTTAATAAAAAAAACTTCCAGTTCATGCCAGAAATACACCAAAAGTAGTTGATATTCTCTGACGAGCAGCGTTCTATCTACTGTCATCAAACAAACATTCAGCACATTCGTGACTCCAAAGTTACTGTAGTCTGTCATAACTTTGAGTCGTAGATAACTTCGTCTATTTAGGAACCAGTATTAACACCAATAATATCGTCAGCCTTGAAATCCAATTCAGAATTACTCTTACCAACAGGTGCTACTTTGGACTGAGTAGGCAATTGAAAAGTAAAGTCCTCTCCCAACGAACGAAAACCAAACTCTACAAATCGCTTATAGTTCCCGTCCTGCTATATGGTACGGAGGGACATCTGATAAGTCGAAATTAGGAGGTTTTGCGTAAGATTTACGGTTCTCTTCGCGTTGGTAACGGCAAATACCGCAGCAGGTAGAATGAGGAACTATATGAGATATACGACAACATTGACATAGTTGAGCGAATCAAGAAACAGTGGCCACTATCATGTGGTCCGGATGGATAAGAATACTCCAGATTTGAATGTATTCGATGCCGTACCCACTGGTGGAAGCAGAGGAAGAGTATTGGGGTTTCGGGTTCGGGTGTTCGATTTTCACTGCCATTCAGCAGGCTAGAGAAGAGGGTTCCCTCCATAATTTCAGTATACTCTGGGCAGCCGTTGCTAGTGCACCTCTTTGTATCCTACAAGAAACCTTCTGTAAGCCATCGTATCTTTTCGTAGAATTTTCGAGCATTAACCTTGTTGGTCGGAGAAGCTCCAGCTCTTCATGCTCATGCATCCCGGCCCCTTTTTTCAACACCATTAATTCGTAACGTTTTCGATAACGAACAAGGTGAGTTGGACCGAGTACTGCCATTCTGGCGGCTATTTTTCTAATTTCGGTCACCGATAAGCAGGGATTTTCAAGCCTTCCAAGTGTATTTCTGGCATGAAATAAAAGCTTCTCATAAAAAGCCATCAGCGTGGCCGTTCGTTGCATGGTATAAACTATAGATCCATTAATTTGCTGGAAAACATCAAAATCACAAATTTGACGGGAAGCCCAACAAAAAATCGCTTCAGCGGTTACAAATGGTTAGAATTGATGAGTGCATAAGTGCGTGCCCGATTTCGCTGGATGCCGTTCGAATCGTTTGAGAGTGGCGCTCGTGAAAAAAATATANTTAATAAAAACGCTTTCTTCAAAAAAATTTCAATTTTAGTTTGCACTTGAAATCGGGCAAGAACTTATGCACTCATCCATATAAAAGCATGTATTAGTATAGTATATACATATATATATATATGTTGTATTATATGCCTTATAATTAACCAATTACTTTATTTATTATATTGCCCAACACGCTTCTCCCCACACTACTTTCAACTGCGCCCTACACACGCACACACACACACCCAATGTATTACATTTGCATGAGCACAGTATAGAGTTGCATATTGGGAAATAAAAAATGTACTCTCCGGTTGAGGTCAAAACTTGATTAGCACACAACTAATGCCTAACCAACTCTACGTTTAATATCAAAGTGACAGTTGATTTTACCTACTTAACCAATCAATGAAATGCAATAAATATATATGTATGTAAACATATATGTATGTACAATATACACGTAACATAAGCATATATTAAGATGTAACATTTTTCTTTACCTTTTCATTACAGCCCGATTATGAAATCTACAATCAATCTGTGCCAATGTTCTCATCGTCACAAAAGAATAAATCTGAATTGCGAAAGAAACAAGATGATCCATACTATTGCGGTTTACTTGCCCGTATACCGAATTTCATTAAATCTTCCAAGAAATACCCGAATAAAAAGGAATCCAAAATTTCGCGTAAAATTTCAGCTTCACAACAACAAATAGTCGAACCACAACCAGCACAACCGTTGCCCATCGCCACATTTCATCAATATCCGGCACACCAACCACCATACTATCCATATAAACTACTACATGCGCGACATCATAGACTCTCCCAATCGCAATTGTCACTGTGGGATGCGCGCAGCCTGATTAGCGCACATGAGTAGAAAGACATTATGCGGCTGGTGTGAGTCGGAGGAGAGAAAGTGGGCAAATAAATATAGTTTCTTTTAAGAGATATCGTAAGAAAGTTAATGTGATTTTTTTCTCAAATCAATATAAAGCGTAAATAAAAAAAAAACAGATGATTTTAGAATTTAATATATGCAACAACTGCGCAATGACATTACGCGAGATATAAATACACGTAATTGAATTTACTTGTTTATGCCTTGAATTATTAGTGGATAAATACGTGTATGTTGTAATGAAAATATAAATGTATGTATGGATGTATTGCGACGTTAATAAATATTATAAATTTATTTATTTATAAGACACGTTTTTAGTTGAAAACACACTGCGCGTGTGTAATACTAGACGATATTTTTGCCATAATTCTTTATGTTTCATTTTGTGTAGGCTTTTATACATACATACATACATACATATGTACTGCACAAGAAGCCAACGTACATGTAAACGCACACAGATGCATTGTATGTAAGTACGTATTTTTTAATTTTTCTCTCAAAAATTAAGACTGAAATATGTCCTAGAAATATGCACATAAAAATTAATTGCGTGCAAAAAGCGTCGTTATTATTTTTGTCATACAGATAATTAAACTGCAAATGTAAAAGTAAAAGTTCGTACGCTTGATAAATCAAAAATCAAGTAAATATGTATTTAAGTGAAATTGAGAAAATAGTTTAAAATAATATTTATGTTTAAGTTAAGCTTATGCTCTTACTATGTCATTTCAGTATTAACGCTAGATGGCATATAATGATAAATGTATGTGTCTATTACTGTTATTCTTCAGTGTGAGTTGTCATTTAATTGTAGTTCCATTGTAAATATAATATTATGTATTATTGGGTTTTTTTTTTTTTGAAACAGTGTCAATATTTATCACAGTAAAATACTCCGATTGCATTTGCAAATACATTTAATTACATAAAAGCATAAGCAATATTTGAATAAAATACTCTAAAAAAAAAAAATAATTACAAAACTAAAAATAATGTTTTTGTTTGTTTTGTTGTTCTCCTCGTAAGCTTAAAGCAGCGCCGCACAGTGGGCTAAATGGTGCCCAAAATGGAGATCAATACCCACAAGCCTTTTAATGACGGAAAAGTTATTTTTTATTTTAATGGTTTTAACGACCTTTCTTTTATTTTAAATTGAAAAAGTTTACCGGCTTAGGGTCCGGTTATCAGTTAATTATCATAAAAAAACAAAACAAAATGGTGAACATCGTTTTTCAACAATTATTGTTTATTTAAGGTTCAAATTTTTCTTTTAATATATATACCGCTTTTTCACATTCGATGATCATAATTATCTTCGCTGCAATTGTTTTCCTCGCCTGAATCATCATCATCAACTTCATTATTACTGCCACTCTCCATCACTATCATCTCTAAGGCTTCTACCGTTAGATCCTGCACTTTTCTAGTGGTAGTTTTCTTCTGGGGTCAGAACTGTTTGGTTTTTTCCTGCTACATGCATTTGTGAGAAAAATGTGCGCTAAAAGTCTTAAAATCTTGCTACGTGCTTCCTGCGCTTCTTCTGATAACAGGTAAATGGTTGAAATAGATGTGAAATGTTAAAGTCACCAAAGATAGCATTCAACGAGATATTTTCCTGCCCACTAGAAACAACTACGAGTATTGTATGCATCGTTTTTATCAAATTTATATCAACTTTAGTAATAGCAGCTGATATCTCGGGATTTTGAAAGAAACGCCAGGCAGCATTCCCTGCAAGAAGGCTTCCGATCATTTGAGCCAACATATGTTAGGAATGCGTGATGTCATATTCCATCAGCTCGTCGAACGATATCCCATCACTTTCTGAAGGCCGAAATGACAAACGTGATGTTTACATTTGTATACGTGTAAGTCATTCTCTCTTCCTTTGCTTGAATAAAAATAATGTAGAGAGAAGAGTAATGAAAAATTAAGTAGTTAACTAATCGACAATATATTATATTATTACCACAGCTTGAATAGGATCCTTAGCCATATTTTACACTTTTTTACGTTCCCTGCTATCTGCTACAGAGAAAACGATAAAAAATGGCGTTCTACTCAAAAATAAGAAGGTAAAATAAAACGGATAAGCCCATCAGTCTATTCTTCCAGTGTTGCCATCGTAAAAATTCCACACCCCGAAGATGTTTCGCCACAATCGATGATTGTAGAAAAGACGTCTCATTATCCAATTGCAACGAGGTTCGAATAGCAATTACCCGCTTAAAGAACAACAAATCGGTGGTAGCCGAGGGTTTGCCGGTTGTGCTCTGCCCAATCCATGAAAAAGAGGATCCCACGTTACCGTAAGATTAACCTCCTTATTATCACACGTAAGGATCATTGGAGTGTAATGTGTGAAAGATTGAAGCCCACAGTAAAGAGCCTTCTCTATGCCGCTATCTTTTAACTTGGTGTTTCTGCAAAACTTATACGGCTGCGTAAACTGATGCTGGATAACACCAGAAACGCAATCAGTACTGGAAAAAACTTCAGCGAGCGAAGTTTCAGACCTGATGATTTTTTCTCGCGCGATTTCTTTAATTTGATGCTGGTGAAAATAAAAAAGCCGATCAGCTAAATAGACAAGGATAATCTTTTACAATATTGTAAAACCTCTGTCCTATGTGAATCGAATGGGACTGGTAGTTAACGATGAAAATGGCAGTCTTAAAATCCCACGCTGAGCAGACCTTTCCAAGAGGTGCTGCTCCAAGTCACTCATCATTGCCGTCCTACTATTGTATAAAGTGCTGCAGCGTGAACGATGTCGACACTGTATAAGGTGGCTCTTAGTGATGTTCATTAAATTGCGCAGGGAATAGAAATTTTCTTTTATGATTTTCAAGTTTTTATTTAATTGCATTTTTTATTTTATTAATGATCCAAATACACCAAGAAAAATATTTTATAATTAAATATGTTTACTCCATTTAAGCATTCAAATATACCTTGCTCATATACACCTTGAAATTAAATACTATCTCATGCAACCCTGATATTTTATCTATTACTTTCGTAACACTTCCCACATAAGATTGATAAACTGAAGTCCACATTCCACTCACACCCGTTTGTCATATTTAAACATATCAATCAATTAATACTGGTGCATTCGAAATCAAAATTGTTTTAAAGTGATCGTATGTTAGATATTGACGGCATTGGCAATTAATAAAAGCTTATGAGGCATTAAAAATACAACTACTTTAGTTATGGATAAATTTGTGAAACGAACTCCATCGTGGCAAACAATAACCTATGCCAACTCACTTGAGAAATCACGAAGAAAACTACAACTCAGCGATCCTTCTGTGAAAAAGAAACCATTACGAGAAAGCCAACTACAACCATCAGCAACAAAGGAATGCTCTCTCCGTAGCAGCCGTAGACTAAGTATTCGAGACGAACATTTGCTAAAAATATTTGCCAGTAAGCCAGATCAGCCACTAGTACCGCTCAATGAAGACAGTGGATTAAGTAGCAGTTCGCAGAGTTCCTTGGACAACATCGTGAATTCAACACAAACTACATCTAAAGTCGAAAAACAGTTTATGCCTGTGGAAATAGTACATAACTTGTGTAAGTACACAAAATTTAGACCATCATTGAGTTTAACTTCAATTGAAAAATATAAAACTTGTTTCCTAAAAAATCCAAATTTCTATTAAAAAAAAATATTGCAAAAGGCTCTTAAATTAAATTTCATGTGTACAAAATTTTTTATTATAAATGGTAATTGTCGCACAATGTTTGTGTTCCGTTAATTCATACGTTATCATTGGGGAGTGGGTCGTTTATTTGGTAGCACTGCGAAAAATTCGCTCTGTCATTTTCTGACAGTGCGGAATGATAACAAAAACACAAAAGAAAAAGTGAAAAATATTTTAAGTTCCTTACTTTGTTGATCTCATTAAAGTAATTTTTAAGATTTGTCCTTAATAAATATCCTTTTCTTTGTTCCGGTGAAATTTTAACAACATGCGCGCGCATATTTCGTGAATAACAAAACAATATACAGGCGAATTGAGCGACTATGTGAACAGCACCGATGCTGCGCGTTCACAGCAAAAGCTCTTTATTTCCCAAACGCCACCCGTAACTTTCAATGAGGAATTTTGTGAAGATAATGAAAACAACATCACAACAATCAGATCAGACACCACTATAACCGCTTTTACAAAATCCGATCATAACGCCTTGGAAAACAAATCTAATAACAACAACCTTCGAAGGCCATCATCTACTCCGAAAGTAATTAATCAACATCAAATGGCGTGCATACATCGAGATATGAACAGTCCGTCAGCAACCGTGCGATTACGAGCTATGAAGGCATTAAAGTAAGTAGTGGCTTGAAATGAATTTGATTTCTGAATATAAGTATACTATTTTCTTAGAAGCAATCCAAAAAATTCACCATATACTGGATTTGATGTTCCACATGAAGAACAAAATATAATTTCTGAAGAGGAGCTCCATCCTCCGCCCCCACCATCAATAGAAGAACTGATGCGCGATATTGTGGTATACGTTGAGGTACGTACTGGAGAGGATAATCGGTCTGACGGTGTGAAGAAAGTGATATCACAACTTGGCGCGCGTGTTAATGACAAATTACTCAGGTATTCATTCGGTTTAATCAGTAAAATAACTTTAAATAATATATGTATCTTTCTAGGGATACAACACATGTGATATTTAAAGACGGATTGTTATCCACATATAAAAAGGCAAAAAACTGGAATATACCAGTTGTCTCCATTTTATGGATTGAAGCTTGCAAAAATAAGCGTATGATATGTGAACCAAATGATTTTCCAATTTCAAATATAGATCGTTATGAAAATCCCGAACTGTATGAAAAAATGAAGGTAAGTGGAACTGATTCCTATTACTTTTATGTAATTAAATGAGCACACATAGAATTTTCGCCAAGTAATGTGAAAGCACAGTCCAATAAGCATAAATCTATCATCAGCACGATGAGAGGATACGGCCTGACCGCAGACAGCCGCACCTAAGCGATGAGCGCAATACTTAAACTTACTTTAAGGTCAAACGAGGACCAAACAAAGTTGATAATCATAAAATCCTGTAACCTCTCCACTGAGACAACCAAGGTCTTGGCCGCAGTCGAAATCTTTGTCGAATCTTTCTCCAGGGAAGAGGTACAGGGGGAAAACGACTTTCACACCATCTGAGTCTAGCAGCACATCAGCATGGCTTCCACAAAGTGCACAGCACCAGATAGCACTTCGCGGCATTAACACTCAAATAGTCTATGGTTTTAACCAAAACCGGCCCAGTGCGTGAACTGTCCGTAGCACTGAATCTCTTTTAAGCTTTTGACACGGTCAACCACTCAGTGTTACTATCGGACATTGAAACACGGGTAGATTAAAAAATGGGTTCTGCAGGGTGATGTCCTCTCCCCATTACTGTTTAGCATCTATAACTAGAAGCTCCCTCCTTCACCAGCAGGAGTTTCCTTGAACTCCAGAGCCGCAATGAAATCCTCAATGAAATCCGGGTCGTTCCGGTACAAAGACCCGACTGTCGTGGGAACGATTGGATTTTAGTCGCCTCTTACGACAGGCATGCCTTACCGCGGATAAATTTTTGAACGCCTAACCCGGAAGGCGGGGCCGGGCCTTAACTACTCTGCACCGGTCTGTTCACCGGGGACAAACGAGACGCAGTTCAAGAATTTGTAGGCATGCCATATTTATGAGTTATTTATTTTGCCACGAAAATATCTGAACTGAAATCTTAAGTGCAAATATTGTAGTTTTGTAAACTTAATTGCAGAACTCGGTGTAAAAACTATGAATGAATTGCTGAAAATTGTTTTATTATTTTTTAAATTGTAATTTTGAGGGATTTTTTCGAATGCAAACATTATTGCATCATTGCATAGTTTCATTAAATAATTTACATACCTATGTTCTACAATAATTTAAATGTTTGTCGATTTCAATTCACTTTTTATGATTTGCAAATAATTACAAGTTTACATACTTATTTGCACGAGTATATACATGTATTAATTATTTCACAACTACAGCAATCCTATCTTCCTCTTTAGACAGATTATTATAATTGCTTGAATTTGAATTGTTGAATTTAAGCCCATCATTTGAACTTATACTGAGAATTGAATGTAATAGCCGAGTGATGGCAAAACTACACACATAGTTTTCCTCAGATGGAAGAAATATTTATTGTAAGTTAATAGAACGTACTTAATGAATGATTGTTATCTGTATTAGCAGTTACAATATAAAAATATTATTCTATATATTGTTCGCCACAGATAAAGTAGTTTTTAATAAATCTACTTCCTTTTTATTAAAAAAAATTTATTTTAGGCGAACAATATAATATATTACGAAAAGCAGTGTTAAACAAAAGCACGTTATATCGTGAGGGAGAGGGAGTGATCACAGAAAATGCTATGATCAGCTACATGAATGGGCGATGGGCCCTAGAAGTTCTTATATATGACCACGTCGCTTATGGACAACCCCTTATCATATTTAGGATGAAATATTGCACCACTAATTCTTTGAGATGATAGTATGAAAATGATACTTCTGTGCTCACTACATATGGAGTTCTTAAAGTCACAACAAATAATTTAATGTTATCAGCTCTTAAGTGATAACATCTCAGTCTGAAGTAATTTTCGAAAGAACGTTATAATCCTATATAATGTGTTAAATTCAAGCAATGTCAGAAGGTAAAAATGATTTTTATTAAAATTGCAAAAGTTTACTGCTTGCTAGTAAATTCATAAATGCTTATAAACTTCTTCAAAACCGTGACATCTGATGACTAAGAGATTTACATATGTACATATTTTTGCACATTATGTATATTTATTTTTCGATATCTAAATGCACGTAGCTGCTTTTATCAGTGTACATCACAAATTATCGTGACATTTTAAATTTATCAGAATTTAATTAAGTTATCTGTAATGTTATTGTTGTTGAAAGGTAGCTAATTACGTATAATTTTTAAGAGTTGTACGTTGATTGATAGCCAGTATCATGTAGTACCAACAGAGAATATTTACTACAATATTTCATCGCTACTGTGTATGCCAACCACGCGTAGAAATAAGTATGCCACCTTCACTTAAGTTGAATAGGTTTTTATTGTTTAATGAAATTATTATTTTTTTTTTTCATTCAGACATAAAACAACTTATAATGCTAATTAAGCTTTACGCTGCTATTAAATTACACTTAAGCAGGAATATAACCGCAATACATGCAAAGAGATTCCTAAAATCGGGAGTTAACAAATATTTCCGTTTCTTTTTAATATGTACACAGGTAATACTTAATGGTTGTCTTTTGACGTTTTTTTTTTTTTAAATGTTAAGAGTATAAAAGCGTTGGTTTATATTCTTTATACGGAACGTATGCTTAAATGACATGCAAAATATAAAAAAAACTAATCGCAATTTTCACATTTAAGTAGTTGGGCCAGCCGTACTATACATGTGTTTAACTATGTATATAAGCGTATAAAAATGTGAATGTACATCTACAATCCAACGAATTTAACATTTTATACACATAATTTGTATACACAATTACCGTAGGGTACACACACACTCTTAAATTGGTAAATAGTTTTTTTTTTTTTGCATTTTAGTCACTTAAAAAAATAGAATGTCTTCTGTACAGCATTTAAGTGACTGGTCAAGTGATTGTTGTTGCCTTGCATTGGCAACAATTGTACTTGGTTCTTAATTATATAACAATAATAATAATGGCAGTGATAGTAACATCAGGAAAGGGTTACTTCGAGACACATCATTATGAGGAATCCAGCTACCGTGCCCCACGTAGCGATTGTGCCATTACCACTCGCATGTGCCTCGGGTAATATGTCGTCCGCAACGATATATATCATGGCGCCTGCAGCAAATGACAGTGCATATGGTAAAATAAGATTCGCAAAAGTCACAGCCACTGCACCTAAGATACCGAAAATAGGTTCTACCATGCCAGAGAGTTGGCCATACCATAAAGCGCGTGTCACACTAAACCCAGCCGCATGCAATGGCAAGCTTACCGCTAGACCTTCCGGAAAATTTTGAATGCCAATTCCAATTGCCAAATTACGTGCAGCTTCAAATGTGGAGGATTCAGTACTGCCAATAGCGCCGAAACTCACACCGACTGCCAGTCCTTCGGGAATATTGTGTACAGTTATGGCAACGACCAGCAACATAATGCGCTTCCACTGTGCCACGGCATTTTCTAAATTGCGTTGACTATCAGTTATGTAGGTACGTTGGGCTTCCACTTCGGCTGCACTATTCTTCTTACGACGTCGAGGCTCAACGTTACCGTGTTGTGTGCTTAAGCAATCAGAAAAGCTGTCCATACTCTTAGTAACTGTACGATCCAAAACGCCTTGACTATTACGTATGTCATCAATAGCGATATCCGCCTTATCCTTATTCGTTTGGGTCATTGATATCATCATATTTGTGCTGTTGAGTCCAAGATAGGACATCAGACGGTCGCAGCCATATACAAATATGGCGCCCAAAAGGAAACCGCCTGAAACTGGCATAAACGCGTAAACACCATAGAGGTGTGAAATTTCAGCCATTTCTATGGCAGGATTTAGCAGTGACCAAAATGAAGCAGCAATCATCACACCAGCAGCAAATCCCAGTGCCGCGTCAAGCGATTTGCGTTGATTGCCTCGCACAAATATTACACACGCTGCACCTGCAGCTGTTAATCCCCATGTAAAAAGTGTGCCCAAAAGGGCTTGCATCACTGGGCCATAGCCAGGTATCATTTTCTCGCCTCGTAGTTGGCCACAACTTTATGCTTTCCAAAACGTAGTCCAACAAAATATGGTACTGATTTAAACTTTGCTTTTTAATGTCGGTATTCAGTATTAATTAAATGCGCTGTTGAACACTCTTATACTTTTCTTATCTGTAAAGCCGAAAACAGACACAATATCATTATTATTATTACTTGTCACTTGAACACAGCTACATTTATACTTTATTAGTATGTATGTACAGCCGTATATATATGCATAGCAAATATTAGCTTAATATTAGAAACCAGCACAAGTCTTACCCAGGAAAATACACACGAAAGCCAGATCACAACTTCCACTTAATGTTTACTTCGCTCAATTTCTATAGAAAATGCCACGTTCTAAGCGCTAATAGGCTTCAGAAGCAAGTGCAGCTTTGGGAAATCACCAAGTCGGCGTCTTTTACAGTGAACTCAGTGATTTATATCGAGAATTGCACACAATTGTAGCTATTAAATTTTGTATCTTTATGCTGTGCTATTGAATTCATTAACTCTTTTTGTTGTGCAAAAACAATAAGTGAAAACAATTTGCCGATATCTGTCGATGAGCGCCCCACAAATTGTTGCTCCCACTTCAAGCTAAAAAAACCGAATACAGTACAAAGCGAGAGCGTTGGCGAATGTAAACTGTCAGAAGTCAGTTTGTTCTCTTGCCGCTTTTTATCTTCTGCTGCGACTGGCAAACTCACATCAGCAGCAGATAAACTGTTCGCTTACATAGTTGCATGAGATAGGCATGTGTATCTATAGGTAATAATATATGTGTATAGTGACAAAAACAATTTTTCTTAAATTCGGTGTCGATTCGGTTTTCTTTGAATAAAATTAAATGTTAAACAAAACTCCGACAAATGAACAAATATAACAAATATTTATTCCGAAGTTTGGTAGCAACTGTATTACTAATATGTGGTAAATTTTTTTTTATTTTTTCAAAAATGAATGAAATGTTAATGTTAGAATTACTACATTTGGTCTTGAAGCCAAAGAAAGCTTATTTTCTCTAATATTTTTAAAAGATACTAATCATTTGATGAAAATTTTGAATGAAAAATAGTATAAGTTAAGGCGTTGGCAATGTCGTGAAATAGACCGTCCACAAGAAAGTGCTTTCACGGTACTCATGATAACCTTTTCAATCTTTATCTGAAATCAAAAATCCAAATTTTTATCTTAAAGTAGGTGAATTTTCCTTGTCTTTGAACAAAGAAAAATTAAAAAAAAATTTAAAACTGAATTTTTTGTAGCGTTTTTTACAAAAAATATAATTTTTTGCATAAAATTAAGGCACATATTGGCTTGTAAAATGAGTTGAAATCAAAGTTAAAATAAGTTCTTCGTTCAGGGACTACAAAAACATGCTTAAAAGATGTATGGAAAATTTGAGCTCGATCGCTTCAATCATCGTTGAGAAATTTTCGATAAAGGGGTGTTAAGAACAACACGTTTGAAGTTTAGCCATCGGTCAAGCCATGACAAAGACGGCGGGTTATAAAACTCTTTAATTTCTACAGTTTAGTGTGTCTCGATCGACTTGAAACTTGGGGGTGATTCCAAAGGGTTCTACAGTTTTTTTTTCTATGCCGTCTCCAGAATTTGTAATGTGGAGCCGAAAACATCGGTACATCTGCTAAAAAAAAAAATTGCGCAACGCCTATAGCCCCTATAGCCATAGCCGTTAACTAAATTTATCGGATTGGATTCCGAAAAACACTGTCGCTTTATGGAGAATCGGAACGAGTACATCTATATAACTCAAGCGTGGTGTAAATTGGAACAAGAAAATAATAATTTTTTTCAGATTTAACACGGCAACACTAATATTTTTCCGCAATATAATGAATGAAAGGAAAGCTAAAACAACTAAAGTGCCCTAACGATAAATAATTTAAATTTTGATAACGTTACAAAAAACGTCTAATATCGCACGTACTTCAACAATACGTAAACAAATAGAAGCAAGATGCGTTAGTATAAATAGCTACACACTTTTCGGTGCGATGTTCTTCATGTGCTTGTTTATTATGAAGAATACGGGCGAATATAAACACATGTACATACTTACATTTGTCGCTTTGTAAGCGCTAAGCTAAAGCGATTTTCGGCCGAGCTCCTCATCCAAATTGCGGTTTTGCGTCATCACGTTTTTTCCTACAAATGGAAGGACCGGAAATGTAGTTTATATTATACTAAGCCGCCTCCTAACGACTGATGATTTTTTATGAGAAGCCCTAATTTGATTAATTTTTAAATTTTTTTTTTAATTTTTTTTTTTTTTAATTTTTTTTTTTTAATTTTTTTTTTTTAATTTTTTTTTTTAATTAATTTATTTTTTTAAATTTATTTTATTTTTTTTTTATTTTTTTTTTAAATTTTTGGATGTTAGTCGTACCAGAATTTGAACCCGAGCCTACCGAATGGCACTACGCAATGCTAACCACTCGGCTACCACGGCCGCATACATACATACATATTTATGTGCTTTAACTATTTTCTATTCAAAAACAAATTTACTTTATTTATATTATCACTTAATTACATATACAAAGATATGATTCACATAATGTATAAACATTACGCATTAAACATGTTTTATATAACACCTGTATGTCCATATATACAGGAAGTAAAAAATATGTACTTAGTTACAGCTACTAAGGTGTTTAATATTTAATTACTTATGAATTAAAGGCAATGTGACGCTTTTATGTCTATCCATTGGTATTAATATGTCACAAGAGATAAAAATATGGGTTTAAGGGGTTAATATTTTTCATGTTTGATGATAAGAAGCCTACAATCTTTTATAATATCTAAGTGATTTATTGTTGTCATTTTTTCAGCGTCACAAATCCATGCAGCCAGATTCGGAATGCAATAAACGTATTCGTTTAAAACAGGGTACACCTAAATCTTCGGCGGAGGTGCCTACCAGAACGCCAACAAGTGCTGCTAATACACCTAAAACTAGCAAAAAACAAGTAAGATTCCTTTTATTTGAAAAAAAAAAGTCTTTTAAAAACTGTGTGGCAAATTTTATCGTAACTGATAAATTTTTCTTTGGTTTACCACAAATTTCTAGCAGACTGATATTAGTCAATTCTTCAGAAAGTTAGCTAATACAAACAACACACCCACATCTGATAATAATGGTGTGACTGGGTCAACAATATCGATAACAAAAGCAAATGAGATACCCGAATCACCAGCAACGCAACTATTGAATAGGTAAGTAATTGATAACATAGTGCGATAGTAAATTTTACACAAGCAAAAATCAAATTAGGGTCCGAAAATAACACTTAATTTGTAGTTTTCCTTATTAGTTCGGATTTGCAATATTTACAGTGTTTTCTTTAATACCATATTAAAAGATCCATTCAGAAGATATAGGTGGGGCTAGTAGAACTCATAAGGAGGACAAATTCTCACCTAAATAGCTAGTAAAATGTGATCCAGTATTTTTGCATTAAATTGAAGGCCTTAACCCTGCAAGAATGCTTCCGATCAGTTGAGCCAACATATACTAGGAATGCATGACGGCATATCCCGTCAGCTCGTAGAACGAACATAAGTCAACTCACATCCACGAAAGCTTTTTTTTAAGTAAAATTAAACGCCTTAAACGAGAGTCCACGAGTATTTCTTTACAAATTCGAGATATTTGGCACTATTGGCATTGATATGCTTACAAGAAAACAGTACATTCAAAAAATACGTTATACTTTCTGTTATTATTTATTTTAGTTCTTTTTATTTTTCAAATTTAAATTAAATAAGTGAATCCCTTTAAATCTTTTAATATTTCAGAATTGAAAGCAACACGTTTACTCCTCTTCGGCCAAGAAGAATTCAAACCGATCCGAGCACAACAACTTTAAAATTCGAAATGTCTTTGAAGCCCTCGTCTAGTGGTGATTTTTCTGAAACAACAATGATATCTTCACAATCCAAAAAATGTCTTCAAAAGCCTTCAAGTCCACCGCGGTCGTGTAAGAAACCGTCGCCGAGAAAACGTGTCATAACCAGACGTAGCAGTGTTCACTTACCTGTAGAGCAAGGTGCAAGTACCTATTCGCTACAGATGACTGAAACTGATACGCCTGTACGTGTCACACGTCGGCGAAGCTCTACATACGCAGCAGTGAACATGAGTCTCAGTACGATCGATCGAAATGCGCCCGAATCAACTATGCATTGCAATCAAACAGCATTTAGTACAATAGCCGAAGAGAATGGAGAGGTTGCGTCTGGCAAAAATTCGAACACAACTGCTGGCCAGAAAAGTCCAAAAAGTTCAAAAGGACGTTTAAAGAAACGTCGCACCACCTATACTAATAAAACGCCTGAAATGTCGCCTGAGAAAAAAGTTAAAACAACAATACGACGCACTTTATATACGCCACAGCCGATAGAAGAATCGATATCAGAAATGTCGGTGACGAAAGTAAACGGCACATCGAAAGTACTTGACGAAAATTTATTGCACTTCGCCTTAACGCCAACTACACTGGCAGAAAATAAAGTAAATTTAACGGGGAAGAGCGATAAAAAGGATATTGAAACCGGTGCTTTAATTGAAGAGCACTCGGCTACCATGATATTTAGTTCTACACGGTTACCTAGTGCCAATCGTCGACGTACACTTTTCGACGTTTCAATGGACATAATACAACAGCGCCTGCATAATATAAATAATTCCGCAAGACGATCTATAACAAAGGAACTAACATACAACGAAAAGAGTCCGATCATCGGTGGATGTAAAACGGTTGCCAATGTAATTGGAGAAAGCAATAACTTATCTACACCGAAAACGAACGCCACAACGAGCGTGATCTCACCACCGAAAACTATAAAAAAGCGAAAACTATTCGTGCCGAATGATGTCTCGCTTATTTTAACTGCCACTCCTCCAGTATCCGCTAAGAAGAGCACAGCTGAAACAAATGCGAAGCGCAGACGCACCATCACACCACAATTGATTGAAAAACGAATGATAACAAAACCACGCAAAAGTATTGCAACAAAAACAAAGTCACATTCAGAAGTAATGATCTCACCGACATCATCAAACGAAATTACAAATCAGACAAAAAACTCGGCGCAATCAGTACCGATATTAGGAAATGAATTAACAAGTTTTGAGGAAAATGACAAATTAGCAGAATCATCGATACCGCGCAAGGATTCTGATCAAACATTAAGCGGAAACACGGAAGAATCAAAGTCTGAAACAAGATTGTCGGAAAACCAAATAATCGTAAATGAATCAAAAGAGATAATACCCACTGCAACGTTACCGAAATTAAAAGGATCATTTATGAGCATAATTTCAAGCAAAACTTCAGACACAACAGTGAAACAACAACTGCAACATGACTTGGGGATCGACGAAAATATCGTTCTCGATATACCCTCTGCAACCACTGTATTAGACCAAGCTGCTGCAGACGAAAATGCAAGGGTCTCTTCTACATTAGATTTACCGCAATCTATAACGAATCATGCAGCTGCGAAATTTGTGAAGAAATCTCAAATGACTGCCACACCAGACACAGCTAAAGACGCTGTTGTTGTAGGCGCAACAGGTGGTGCTACCGGCACTGCAATCCAAAGCAATGCGGCTGGCAACAGTAAAAAGTGGCCATATATTGTATGCACCAATATGCACCGGGAACAAATCAAGGTGATGCGTGAGGTGCGTAAACAACGATAATTTTATTATAGTGTTAATTTTTTGTTGCCCAATGCCTTCTTTTTTTGCGCTGGCGCTGACCATCATCTCTATTAATTTCTCTTTATTAATTTTTAGTTAGTTCAACATTTATAATTTTGTTTTTAATATTTTTACTTTCTTTATTTATATTTTAAACTTTAGCTTTGCTCAAATTGTTTATTTAAAATGTTTAATTTTAAGTTGGCTTATCTATTTCCTAAGTAATTTTTGATATTAGCTGTTGAATCTTGTTTTGAAATATACATTTGGCTTTCAGACAATCACTAACATTCACCGTATTTACCTTTATAGAAAATAACTGGTATGAAATTAGTTTAATTGAAAGAACATGTTCTGACATGGCGAGGATTGTATTTGTAAAGTTGTTATTCCAGCGCAGATATTTTGTAAAATAAATGGCAATTACACTTAAATAGTTTTTTATTTTTATTTTTATTTTTTTCTTTATTTGCTAGTTTAATAATTTTATTATTTATTTCATATTGGTCAAGTAAAGAGTTCGTTCCGTTTTTTTTTATTGATTTTTTAAAATACGATAACTTTGTGTACATTTGTCCGCTTTAAGTCAAATATGCGTCGTTTTGTACGTAAACTTTTTTTTGTTTGTTCCCAACGAGATGCCAACTTCATTAAACCACTCTCGTAGAAGACTGCGTCCCTATTGGCAAAAAGCTCTGAGAGCCAATTATCACAGGCCTCTCTTGAGGCCAACTTCTTACCATTAACTGCGTTCGCCATGGACAGGAAAAGATGGTAATCACTTGGTGCCAGGTCCGGGCTATAAGGTGGGTGCCAATCCCACCAGACAAATAGCAAAACCTGGTGCATCTTTGACATTGAAATTACCGAAACTGAACCTGCCTAGCCACATTTGTGTTACACGTTCGTTTACAGTATCGGGCCCATAAACTTAATTAATTTTTTCAGCCGATTTTGGCTGCTCTTTCGCCTTGATCTAAGAAAAATTGTAAAATATAGAGAATTTTCTCTTTGCTGGTGTCCATCTTTGACGAACGCTCACTACGTACTGAGACAATCAATCGAAAAACTGTCAAAGACAAACTTTTAGCGCGAATAAACACATTTTCAACGCCGTATAGTATGACATGATGCGACACGTAACACTAGTAGTATGGACAATAACGCCATCTCTTAGATAAAAACCGAACGAACTTTTTACTTGACCTAATATGTACGTTATTCTATAGTAAGCTTGCGGACGACATATCCATCAAATCAAAAGAATATATTATTACAAAAATTATCGGAAGTAGCCGATTTGTCCTATTTTTAGAACATTATATGAACGATGGTCGATATTGGGGAAGAATTGAGTTTGAAAAATACAATAGTTTCCAACGTTTCACCAAACCGTTAAACTGTTGTCTTTGATAAGAATACTAAGTACAAGCAATTCTTTATTGTAGTATATTAACAATTAAGTAGTTTAGAAACTCATCGAAATAAATATGTATGCATATTTTTAAACCATCAAAATATTATCAAGAGGATAAAAATGATTTTTAACATGCATACTTAATGAGTAATTAGCGGCCGCAATAGTCGAATGGTCTAAGCATGGCGTACCGTTCGAGTCCTGGTTCGACCAACATCCAATCCAATTATAGAGAATCAATTGTTCTAATTGCGGTCGACAGTCGAAAAGTAGAAAGCCATCATTAAAATCCATCGACTGCTCCGGACAGGCCTACAATAAATTGTAGATCCCTCCACAAATTGAAGATGGAGCTCGGCCGAAAATCGCTTCAGCGGCTATAAAGTTCCAATTATGAGTAGAAGATTTATTTTATAGCGCAACAAAATGTAGAGAAATAAGACTTTTATGATATGAACCACGGGCACCTCCTCTTATCAGCTGCACTCAATGAAAAGCTTATGCGTCTCACTTTCGTCATACATATTTACAGCTACAAAACAAAAATTGAAAGCCGCATTAGAAGAGTTAGAGTGAATGTTCTAGTTCGCACCACAACTTTAACTAAAAATATGTAGAATATTTAATTACAAGGCGCAAAAATTAGCAGCACCGGTATACATATGTACATACATATGCACATAAAACGAAAAGTAAGAAATTCGTAATTTCGGTCAGAACGTCCGAAACTCACAGTTTTCAAATCAATCAAATAGTTTTGCAAACCGTTAAAAGTCTTAAGAATCTGATATATAGGTTAAGTAAAAAGTTCGTTCGGTTTTTTATTGATTTTTCTAAATACGATAACTTTGTGTACATTTATCTAATTTAAGTCAAATATGCGCCGTTTTGTTCGTAAACTTGTTGCCAACGAGATGCCAACTTCATTTAACCCCTCTCGTAGAAGCCTGCGTCCATATTGGCAAAAAACTCGTAGAGCCAATTTTCACAGGCCTCTCTTGGTGGCAACTGCACACCATTAAGTGCGTTCGCCATGGACAGGAAAAGATGGTAATCACTTCGTGCCAGGCCCGAACTATAAGATGGGTGCATTAGAACCTCCCATCCGAGCTCCTGGAGTTTGTGGCGCGTCACCAAAGACGTGTGTGGCCAAGAGTTGTCCTGATGGAAAACAATTCGGCCTCTGTTGATCAAAGATGGCCTCTTCTCGATGAGTGCTGCCTTCAGGCGGTGCATTTGTCGGCAGTAGAGGGCCGAATTGAGCGTTTGGCCATAGGAAAGCAGCTCGTAGTAGATGATTCCTTGCCAATCCCACCAGACAAATAGCAAAACCTGGTGCATCTTTGACATCGAAATTACCGGACCGGAACCTGGCTTTTTTGTGTTATACCTTAGTTTTACTGTAAACGGGCGCCTTGATCGAAGAGAAATTGTAAAATATGGAGAATTTTCTCTTTCACAACGTGTTGAGTCAATCAATCGGAAAACTGTCAGAGACAAACTTTTAGCGCGAATAAACAACATTTTCAACGCCGTATAGTATGACATGATGCGACACGTAACACTAGTAGTATGGACAATAACGCCATCTCTTAGATAAAAACCGAACGAACTTTTTACTTGACCTAATATTAGGAATTAAGTTTAGATTTTAGCCTCCTTTCGTGAAGTATGTGGTCTATAACACGTCTCAATAATCATATATTGCTTTTCCCATGCCGTCTTATTTTAAGGCAACGCGTGATCTTCCTCTCATGTAACCTTTATAAAATCCATGCATACGTCTAAATGTCGTCATTTCACGACAGGATATTTTAATATATGATATGAAAATAGTAGTGTCTCATTTTATCTCCGGCAACTCAATATTGTAGGTCTCTTCATTTGCTAGAAAACTTCAAGACTCACACCGCCAATTGGAGGGGAATTGCGGCAGAAAATCCCCTTACCCATTATTTATATATACATACATATGTGTGTACGTACACTTATTGATCATAATTTTCGTCAAAATATTTCAATTTATTGTGTGTACTTACGCAAAGACAGCCATGGCTAAATCGATTAGTCTCGTAATTCCGGTATAATTTTGGGGTAGCCACTATACACCGATAAATACAGTGGCTCAAAAATGAACTCGGACACCCAAGTTATATGACTTCAAACAAAAAAATATATAATAAAATGCAAATCGAGGGCTTTCTTGGCAAAGATTCAACTAGCTTCTTGCATGTTAAAGAATTTATTTTCCCTCACTCTTCCTAAATAGCGGCTTCTAGGTCTTTCTTATTTCTAATAACATGCATTTTCAGTTTATTTTCCAAATGAGCCCACAGATATTCAATTACGTTAATGTCGGGAGATTTAAGAGGTTTTTCAAGCACTTTAGAACAGTTATACACCAACCATAGACGGACATCAAGTGCTTTATGCTTGGGATCGTTGTCTTGGTAGTACTGGAAATTGTCTTTAATTCCCAACTTTTCCGCCCTTTGCACTAAATTTTCTTTTAAAATGGTCAGATATTACGAAACACAAACTTCCAGCACCAGCTGCGGACATACAACTCCATACCATAACTGAGCCGCCGCGGGTTTAACAGTCGGACGTAAATTCTTTTCTAGCAACTTTTCATTCGGTTTACTCCAAACAGAAGACTGTCCATCTGGCCTAAATATTTTGAATTGGCTTTCATCTGCCAATAAAACATGTTTCCAGAATTGAAAAGCGCTATCCCCATGACATTTTGCAAATTTTATACTCTTGTTTCGGTTAACCTCGTTTATAAATGATTTCTTCCGTGCTACGCTTCCATTATAATTATTTTTTCGTAAGACTATTCGGATACTCTACGGATTACATTTTATATTGAGATGTTGCAAAACTTCTGTTGACAGCTTGGGAGCGCTTATGTTTGGATTTTTTTTTTGATTTGCTGCACTATCCACCTCTAATCTGCAGCCGGAAACAACTTCGGTCGTCCAGACTTCTTTTTGTTTTCCACGGATTTTGTTTGTTTGAAACGTTTAATCACGTCATGCACAGTCGAGCGGGGTCTGCTCACGATTTCTGCGATTTCCGGAATGGTTTTTCCTATTTCAAAATGACTAATAATTGACTTGACCTTACTTCAATTGAACTTTGTCCACGCTGTCTACCCATGTTTGAACTTTTCACCTTTTTTTCCAAAAAAAAACTACTGAAATTTTATTCTAAGCTATTACGTTTGATTATATACATATGTATTTTTAAACGAAAAAAAAAACTAATTGTGGGATTACCCTTTTTAAAATGCCATGGACCTGTAATATTACCAGATGTCCGACTTCTTTTTTGAAGCAAGGGTGTAGGAGACCTATAATCTATTTTAAGGCAACGCGATAATCTGTGTGTTATTGGTATATTTTTCAATCCTTATTGGATACCCTATAGAAATATAAAAAACAAAAATGCTTAATATCAATTGATTAAAAAAAAATCTAGTTTGAAACTGCATGTTAATAACAGTGGAATGTATGTCCGAGCTCTTTATTGAGCCACAGTATTATGAACGAGTAGTTTGGAATACATTGAATTTCATATCATCAAGCAAGAGTTATAAGAAATAACGGCAATAATGCATAAATAGACAACGAAATATTAAAGTTAAGAAGAATTACAATTTCAAATGTAGACTACACGAATGGTTTGCACTTCATTTCGTTGCGTGCTTAAGAACAATTAGTAACTTTATCAACAAAAAGTTCATTCGTTATTTAAATTAGATTAGCATTTCAGTAACCACTCTCTCATAGCTGTCACACCCGTAGACCCTTTTTCAAAAAGAGAAAAATAAATCAAACTAAAATCTATCTAAAACAAATTTTATCAAATTAAATTCAAAATACCTTCTACAAATAGGCAATATCTGCACTCGGTGGTCTACAATTGAATCACTGCGTTAATGACGACACTACGCATGTGGTTAGTTATGAACCACGGCGTACGCTAAACCTTCTGCGAGGACTAATACGTGGTCTGTGGATAGTGGATTACAAATGGGTGTTGGACTCACTAAAGACTGGATATTGGCTAAACGAAGAGGATTATGAATTGAGGGTATTTTCTCGTGCTATTGAGGTACATTGCAGTAACTGTAATTGTAATTGCAAAATCACAATGTAAACATTTGTATTTTTCTCCTTAGATATGTCGCACTGAACGTCAGGCATTTGGCAATACATATAAGTGTGAACTCTTTGCTGATTTGGGAACATTCTACATATCATCACGCTGTGGACCAATCTCGAGGGAAAATTTGAAAGAGCTCATAGAATTGTGTGGAGGCAAAGTGGTAGATCATCGTAAGCGCGCTAAATATATACTTGGCGATCCACATAGAACTCTTGAAGAGAAAGTTTATGTAACCCCATTTTGGGTATTGGATAGCATCACACATATGCAGGTGATGCGCCACCAGAAATATGCATATATAAAGACTTCTGTTGCGAAACCGCCAGCACAGACCCAACAGACAAATACAGAAACGGTTACTACTCCATAACAACGCTTATTTAGCAATAATTAAAATAAAATATTTTAAGACCACATACAATTTATTGCAATTTACAGAATAATTTTTTAAAACAAAGCATTTTAATGAAATTATTTAACAACGCAATTATAGAGATTAGATTGTTTACTAAATAAATTTAAAATTATTAGCATATTTGCATATAGAACTTGGAATTTGAATTGTTCAAAGGATTGGGCTCTAAAAAAAAACTTTTTTATATTTACCTAGAAGAGATACTGGTATGCTACAGTCGGAATTTCTTACACTTCTTAGTCATAAGAAACTGCAAATATTAAATAATTTTCAGCTGATTGGGGTTAATTCATCATGAAAACCCTGCAAGAAGGCTTCCGATCATATGAGCCAACATATACTAGGAATGCATGACGACATATCCCATCAGCTCGCCGAAATGACAAACGTGATGTTAACATTTTGTGTACGTATATGTCATTCTCGTTTCGTTTCCTTTACGGACGTAGAAAAACAGCAGCAGTACCGTACAAGACGAACACAGATGAGCGAGAGCATTGATGTCGAAGGAAATCGGCTTTGACAAAATTTTTCCTATTAAATATTTCAATATTTAACATGAATCATGTACATAATTTACAGCATACAAAAGAAGTAACCGTACAACAATAAATTCGTTTTCAAAAACCAGCAAAATATAAGCAAAACCGCATATACAGAAGTCTTTGATAGTGACGTAGCACCAGCTCCCCGAACGCCTGCGTCATAATCGCAGCTCCTTTGAAGTATAAGGACGTCTAAGTAGAATAAAAAAATATTGTTCAAATCATAATGTTATTAATATTTTAATGCAGTTGTACCTCGCAAAGTTTTGTTGAATATTTTTGAGATCTGCTGCTGCAGCAAGAGGAGAAGCGTCCATTCTACCATTCAACCTGTTCCATTAAAAGAATTTTCCGTACAATATGGAGTACCCTTAAATAAAAACAATGTAAAGAGTTATAAAAAATGAGGTAGTTAATTAATCGACAATATATTATTACCACAGCTTGCCACGCTTTATGTTTCTATTCGCCTCTGTAGTTTTTGCCATTCTCTTTTATTTTGTTTCTTATTTCGAACTGATGCAACTGTCTTAAATTTCAAATGAATATGTGCCGTAAATTTGGAAATTGAAATTTGGAAAGCAACCGTTTCTACACGATTAAAATAATTTTTTCACAATAAAGTCTGAATATTCGAAAAAAAAAATCGCACGAGTTAATGCATACACCCCCAATGCATAATTTATGAAAGTGCATGCAAACATATATGCCTGTGCTTATGTGTATCTAATTATGAATAAATAATTCAGATAATTGAGTTTGCAGCCAAAGTTGATGCAATCAATATTAGAGAGTATTGAAGAAGCCGCTGAGATTGACTTAGATGATAGTGAAAAGGATAGGATATGTAATTAGATTACACTTTGGAAAGGGTAGAGTTGATTTTAAATCAAATGTAAAAATATATTAAAGAAGTAGATGAATAAAAGCTTCCTTTACACAAACATACTGTTTCTATTTTAGAAATATTAATCAGGGCAAAGCGAACGAAAAACTGCGAGTGTAAAATAAAGTGGAATAGAGCAAAAAATTAAAAAAACAAATGTCAAAAAATTGTGGGAAAGTGAAGAACGACACAAAAAAGAAAATTACGATAATAAGCGACAAAAGTATCCACGTGTAACCTCAGGCTTAGGAAAAACAAATAGAGTTTCATCATTTTTGAAAAACAATAAATTTTGAAATGCTATATAATTGCCAATTTTATTAAAATACTTAAAAGGTCAAAACAATATACTGTGTATACCAACGGATTCAAATGTAACTGCCGAAGCAAGCCGCTCGAACCGAATGTTGCCAGTATTGACTATTGAAAACGAATTTTAAATAAATTAAGGATGTGTGCTAATCGGTATCTTTTTCTCATAAATTAAATGAGGTTACAATTCGCTGTGCCAAATGAAATTGTAAATTTTAAAGTAAACTAAATAAAAGCTCATGAAAAAATCGAATATGTATTGCGTACTGGTAAAAAATAATAAAAAAAAGAAAATACTTTTTTTACTCATGTTTCCACCAATAAAACAGAAGCAATGAATTCAATTAATGATTTGTTGTTAATTCAGAGTTTTAGGCAACGGGCTAGGCGTAATATAATACTTGCGGCAAGATCTTTATGGTGAAGTGGGAAATTCAAAGCATTTAAGGATCTGTTTCATCTATTCACAAAAATTTTCCAATTAATTCCCACAAGTTATTTTCTTTTTAAATTGGATGGCATGTGGTTGCATTCCTTTGGTGGTGTTATTGTTATGTTGTTATACAACTTCATATTATAGGTTTGTACAATGGAATCGACCTACATGGAAGGCATGTCAAGAAAAAGTTACCCGAATCGCTAATGAAAAGTTACCCAAGTTTCTTCGCACGAAACCAATAATCATTGAATGTTAATAGATTATATTCAACAAATATTTTTTAAGTTGTATATTTTAGAAAATTACTCACAAAAATATAAATATTTTACTCTTTATTTAATTTTTTTTAGCGGACTGATAACTGTGAAAAGAAAGAAAATTAGTTCATTTATTTGAAATTAACTTTCATAATCTTTGGATTTTAGTTTATCCAATACTCCAACCCCGGCCTTCCGAATCGTAGTACATTCTGCTAACCAACCGACTACTGCGGTTTCGACATTCCTGAAATATGCTTTTGTACTGTTTTCTGAATGAAAAAATCTCTTTTAAAACTTCAATTCAATGCTAACGCTTTGATCCCTGTCCAATCTACATGAACAGTTTTAAACGTTTTGGTATTCTTTTTGTACACCCTACATAAAATGATCCGTTCCGTAAAAACACAGAAGGTGCTTTCCACCTTTCATTCTTCAAGCGTATGAGGATTTTGTCCTTACCTGTGTACTCCTCCTTTCGTATGCTATTTACCTAATAACTCAGTAAATTTGCATTTTGGTTCATCCACCATTGTGGGATATCAATCTTTATTTAACTTTGTTCAGTAAATGTTTATAATACTTTTTCTGGCGGGTTCTATTTGTTTAGTGATTTGTGGCTGTGTAAATTGTCGGTACCTATACACAAAATGTGTATCTTCTTCTTCAGTATTTGTACTTTAAGTTACTGTAAAAATGTATTATAGTTGTACTGTCCAAATTAAATGCATTATTCATTCCCATAATAAAAAGAAATCCAATGAAATGAATAAATGACCTGTAGTCCAACTAAAATCCAAAAAGAAAATTATAACTGAAAAAACCATACATTCCATATCCCTCGATCGTGTTTAATATAATACAAATCCAATATTTTCTTTATAAAAAAAGAATACAAAATTTTAGTTTTATTTTTTTGTTTTAAATAGTGGTTCCTTTTATATTATGTTTCTGAGTGTTCGTATATAGTTTTCTTGTGCTTTAAACGCTACAGAGAAGAGATGGAATGAATTCCAACAAATAATTAAACATTAAAAGTAATAATAAAACTAAAGATACAAATGCTGTTTTGCTTAAAAAGATGTTTCGTATGTTTATTTGCTATCTGTGTAAGAAATGGATTGTGTGCGTTGTGTGGTTTGGTTTCCACCTCAAATCTAATTAGACAGCGCCTTATGCACACATTCGTTTCCTACGAAACTCTTTACGATGGAAGCAATGGAACTTTTGATTAACCATTAATGTTAGATTCAGTTGGAACACGGTCCCGTTTTTCTTGCTGTTGTTGTTGTTGTTGATGTTTTGACTACCGTTAATACCGTAGTTGGAATTTAAGCTGTTGTTGGTGCTATTAATATTAAATAAATGTTGGTCTTTATCTTCGTTATAACGCAGCTACTTCTTGCCCTTGGTGGCCTTCTCAGCGGCTTTGGTAACCTTACCACCGGAGGCATCCTTGAAGTTCACACTCTTGATGACACCGACAGCGACAGTTTGTCTCATATCACGTACAGCGAAACGACCCAATGGGGGGAATTCCTGGAATGATTCCACACACAATGGCTTGGTAGGTACCAAGTTCACGATAGCAGCATCACCAGACTTGATGAATTTGGGGTTCTCTTCGGTGGTCTTACCGGAACGACGGTCAACCTTCTCCTTGATTTCAGCGAATTTGCAGGCAATGTGAGCGGTGTGACAATCCAACACTGGAGTATAACCGTTGGCGATTTGACCAGGGTGGTTCAATACAATAACCTGGGCGGTGAAATCGGCAGCTCCCTTTGGAGGGCTAGCCTTTGAGTCACCAGCGACATAACCACGACGCAATTCCTTAACGGAAACGTTCTTTACGTTGAAACCTACGTTGTCACCGGGTACGGCTTCTGGCAGGGCTTCGTGGTGCATTTCAACAGACTTAACTTCAGTGGTGATGTTCGCTGGGGCGAAAACGACGACCATGCCGGGTTTCAACACACCAGTTTCAACACGACCGACTGGTACTGTACCAATACCGCCAATTTTGTAAACATCCTGCAATGGCAAACGGAGAGCCTTGTCGGTTGGGCGACTTGGGGGAAGGATGGCATCGAGAGCATCGATAAGGGTCTTGCCTTCAGCATTACCTTCCTTACGTTCAACCTTCCATCCCTTGAACCATGGCATGTTGGTGGAAGCTTCCAACATGTTATCACCGTGCCAGCCGGAGATTGGTACGAAAGCAACAGCAGCTGGATTGTAACCAATCTTCTTAATGTATGAAGAAACTTCCTTCTTGATTTCCTCATAACGAGCCTCACTGTATGGTGGTTCAGAAGAGTCCATCTTGTTGACACCAACGATCAATTGTTTCACACCCAGAGTGAAAGCAAGCAAAGCATGCTCACGAGTCTGGCCGTTCTTTGAGATACCGGCTTCAAATTCACCAGTACCAGCGGCGACAATCAACACAGCGCAATCAGCCTGAGATGTACCAGTAATCATGTTCTTAATGAAATCTCTGTGGCCAGGGGCGTCGATGATGGTGACGTAGTATTTGGAGGTCTCAAACTTCCACAAGGCGATATCGATGGTGATACCACGCTCACGTTCGGCCTTCAATTTATCCAAAACCCAGGCGTACTTGAAGGAACCTTTGCCCATTTCCTGAGCTTCCTTCTCGAACTTCTCAATTGTACGCTTGTCGATACCACCGCACTTGTAGATCAAATGACCAGTGGTGGTAGACTTGCCAGAATCGACGTGTCCGATAACGACAATATTAATATGAATCTTCTCCTTACCCATTTTGATTTTCTATGAGCTGTAGTAATATGATGGTCATCGGGGAATAGAATGTCACATTCGTGTTGGGGTTTTTCAAATCATTAAAAATTTAGCAGGTTTCAGGTGATTAGGATGAAAATAAAATGGGGAAAAACAAATATTCGTTAGCAAACATTGTATGGGAATATTATAAATATGTATCTATTAGTAATATCAATATGTGAGGTAGACTATAATTTCCTTCAAACACAACTTGCAAAATTCCTCAATATTCTACTTTACTTTTTTAAATTAAGAAAAATGTTCTGTTAATTGTTCAAATTTATACAAAAAGCATTCTCAATTTCCGTTTTGTGGTGAACAGTAAAAGAATAAACACAAAGCAGTATTTGTACCATGACTCAACGAGGTACATCGTGTTCACGAATGTACATATAAAACAAATGCAAAATGACGTTTTTTTCGTTGTAGTATGTATATACCACATAACCTCAACTTGACAACGTGGTCACACACATGTTACAAACAATCTTCTGAAATTGAGGTTAAACTTTCCCATGCTGGCTTTTGGTATTCTGAGGAAGTTCAAAATTTGGTTATTAGATACGAACGAATGCCGCATTGGGAGATGTAAAAAATGTAGGAACATGCAAAATTGGAAAAAAAAAAAGTTATATTATTTGCAAACTGTTCGAATTTTTAGTTAACTCAAATATATATTCGTTCTCTGTAATTCAGTGGTTTTGGTATTTTTTATCGTCAAAGATACTCAGTAGCAGAACTGATAGAGTCATCATAGAAACAAAAAAAAACGAATATATATCTTTCATATCAATATATGTATATAGTGCGCATTCGATTAGAAATGTGAATCTGGGTATAATTTTAATGCATGTTAAAATTTATAGAATGCTCATAGTTTCCTTCCATTGGGAAAATTAATTTATGGCCTATGTCACGGAAGTTAAGATATTTTAATATGGCGGCCTCGGCTAACAATCGGCTAAAAGAAATTTCCAGTGCACACGAACCGCAACGCCCCAATTAGAAAACCTGGCGGCCATTTTAAAAATCGTAAACTATACAGAACTACCACGATATGCACTTTTCGGCAAAACCGGCTTCTTATAACAAATAAAATCTTATATTCTGTAGTAAAACTAATTCAAATATTTTATATAAATCCAATCAGCAAAAACTACTTATTTAAAACCACTTTGAAAAAACGTGGTGAAATACTACTTATAGCCTACATCTTGAAACATTAACATTATTAAGACATATTTTCTAACTGGACCATCTGCAAAATCAATTACAATTAAAATATTTTACACCGATGAAAATGCGAGTAAGATGCGGTGAACTACAGAAAAAAAATTTATCTAAATCCAAATTTTTATTGCCACGTGTTTTTCACCAAATTTTCCCAATACTTTTCTCCATTACTTTTGTTTTATACATATGATATTTCAACGCTGTTGCTATGTCATCCTATTACACATCGACGCACTTTTCCAAAATTTTAACGCATTATCTCCCATAATAGCACAATACAGATTTATTTTGCTTTTGTTTACTAATAAACAACAAAATATTCTTTGCCAATAAGCAGAGACACATTTGCAAATCGAATATGCACTTCACTTTTTTTTTATTCTAACAAAATTAAAAAACTTACTTTTCAAATAAACTGAATCGAGAAATTACTGAAGTCTATGCTGATCCGCCAACAGACTTGAACAAAGTGAACGAGAAACTCGTCGTAAACGAAAGATATGCCTCACTTCGTCTTTCCAGTGCCACGTTGTTATCAGGGTTGACTATGTAACATTTCTTTTCCAGAATTAGCAGTTATCATCAAATATCCAATTAACTTAACATGGTTCATAACAACATTTTTTAAAACAATAAATAATATTTTAAAAGTTATAGCTGAATATTTTTCGTTTCTTTTTAATATTATTTTAACACACTGTCATTTCATTTATATAAACTTGTTAGCTTCTTTGTCATTTCAAATGATTTTTTACATTATTATTACTAAAGAATAATTAAACATGCATAAGGGAGTGTAAAATTATGCCACCGATTAAAAAGATTGCTAAATCAATACATAAAAATTGTATAAACTGCAGTACAAAACAATTACATACGTATAATACCAAATCATTTAATGCAATATTTCCATTACATACAATCTAATGCGAGCCTGTGTAATAGGTGCAATTATAAAAATTACAGAGTGAACCAAATTAATTTTAAAAGAATCATGAACAGGTGAAATCGGCGAATTGAACAGAGTGGTTTTCTATGTTTAAAACGCAAACTTTGCTAGCCTGAGCATTGGTTTGCGCAAACTGATTGTTATAAGTTGACCAATTGGAAGTGCTCGACAGTTTATGTCCACATCTTCCCCGATCGAGTGAAAGAATGTAATGTACCAGTATTAATAGTTAACGCTTTTGCTGCAACTGCAACGGTAAGCTGTGACAACTTTGTGTCTACATGGCGCTCTCATAAGATAGGTTGCTATGGACGGACGTGAGTTGGGTAGTTAAAGCATTTCCTTTGCCCATTACCGGTTGAAATGAAAAGATGGAATGGAGATGGATGTCCCTGAGGGAAAGGGAGACGAGGAGAGTACTTATCGAATAAATAACAGCAGATTACAGTCAGCTACAACAACAATATTAAACAATAAAAGTTGACAAATAATTATTTACAATAAAGATTCCGTACAACAAAAATTAACGTTTAAATAATTATATTGTATGATTTTTGTCTACATAGTATATTTTTTAATTCCAGAGCGAGAATTTGTTATGGTGGTTTTGCTACTTAAGTAAACTGCGCAAATTACTAAAGTTAATCAAATCAGCGGCAGCTTCAATTCAAAGAAGTGATTTCTATTAAATAAAGCACATTTATTAGATTTAAAATCCTATGTGCGCTTTTAAAGGAATATAAGCCCATGATAGAAAAGAAGAAAGTATCACAATGTAAAGATTTTTACCTTGTAACTTTGTTTTTGGATTCATCAAACACAAACTACATTAAAAAATATATGTATATATATTGAATTTGTATTAAAAAATTAGAGAAGTTACATCGTTTCCAAATAATAATTTCCAAGAAATAGGAACTATAAGCTTCATTTTTTCGCCCTCTAGTTTCAATTGCAAAAAACTAGAGCATAGATCGTTTAGTTCCTTGATAATTAACTTAGCATCCGTCGAATTATCACCTTCCAAAACGTAACGAAATAATAACATCACAGGAATTTGTTTGTCTTTTAATATGTGGAACAATTGGAGTCCATTACCGCCGCCAAATACTACGTCTCCTTTAAACTCCATCCATTTCACATTATCTAATTCGGTTTTATGGCTTTCACGAAAATTCTCAGATACGCAGTACTCATAAGGCGATGTACCGATTTCGCGTTTTTCAAACCCAAAACTAGCACCAAGTACAACCACCCTTTCAGCTTGTTGCACTAGCTGAGCTAGGTAACTATGGAAACTCTGCGCATGGCGTGATATGAGAGGAGTCCGAAATTGAATTACGATCAATTTATCGGTTTTACTCTGATATATTTCACAAGAAGCGACTCTTTCATCAGGATCGTGCTGATACGCCGAAGGGCCAAAAACGGGTATTAATCCAGGATGCATTAGGCTGCCAATCCGTTCCATTTCTTTTGATGCAATCAACAAATCGCAGGCCAATTGCGCCGCATTTCCAACACATATGCTAGGTATTATAACTGTGTATCCTCTAAAGTCGATCGAATCTTTATTCTTTAATTGCAACATGTTTAGAGAACAGTGTTAAAAACTAATAAACTAATAAACAATTAATTCAAAGAATATGAAAGTAATGCAGCTTTGTTCGATTTTCGTTAAAGCATATGATATAAAAAGCGTTACCACTAGTTTTAACAAATTTTTCCTTAGCAAATTGGTGCTGGTGGTGTTCATTAACTAACGTAACGGACGTTTCTTGTCAACAATGTAAGTGGAAACTCACCACACTGTACCCGCAACTGTAGTATAATATTTAACGAGCTGTTTCGACGGGATTGGACCAAAGGGAGAGGAGGGTTAGATGAATCGGCTTAAGGGGTCATGTGAAGAGGTGGTTATTGTCGTGCGGAGACTCTCCATATGAAGGGCATACGTTGGATATGCTGAGGTCGAATCTGGACAAGTTGGAGTTTAACCTGCTACAGAATCCAGACCTAAGTTGTGCCAAGGTCACGCGAGTATCTCGAAGCAGATCAAGATCGTTGTCTGCTATAGGTATTGATTTTACTCCGAGCACGTCATACATCAGGGGAGTCTTTGAAAGTGTTGACTGACTTCTGGTGAATGGCGTTCAATGCTTGTCTGTACGCCGTCCTGTACAGCGGTTGTTCCAAATGTTGCTGTATTGTGTCCTTTAAATATAGTACTCCCTTGCTGATGTGCATAGGTGGAGGTTCAGCTCGTAGCATAGATGCTTCGCTGTGCAAGTGATGTTCCGGCGACAACAGGGGGCTTCCTAATCCGTAATCCAAAAAAACATGAATGCTGTGTGGTACAATTTAATAGTGAAGTTTCTTTTTGTTGTAAATTACATAAAATAAACATAGAATATAAAAATTTTGAAGCATCAATGAAATGTGTATATCTGCGGCTATTAACTGGCATTCATGTTTTAGGAAAATTTATTTAATTTTTAAATAAAACTTATACTATTTCTTACGTAGCTGTATGCTGAACCACTGTATTTTTTTTGGGCTTTTTTCACCAATAAGAGCACATTGTGCGAGTTCATTATTATGTTAATTGTAACATATTTTTAAAAAATAAAAAAAAAAGTTGGAATGTACTTTTTTTAACGAAATAAATTGTTGCTAGTACACTTTAGTGAATACTAAAATCATAACACTTTTCTGTCTGTTTTTGTAGCATTTTTATTGAAATTGGAATACACTATGCCTCCGCTGAGTTGCCTTCATCTTTAATTTTCACATATCCGGTGTTGTTGTGTAAAAACAGCAATTGATCAATACTCTCACATGGTATGTTCGCATTACTTCTGTCTCCTTCTAAAATTCCATCCAAACTAAAGATTCCTTGAGTGCATTTCGTGCAACTCGTGGGTATACTTAATATTTGTCTGCAAATATTTTTCAATATTGGAAAATCTACAGAATTTTTCCAAAACTGTAATACATTAAAATGTTCCACATCTATTTTTAAATATCTTATTATTTCATTATCGATTTCTTTCTCACATTCTTCAGAATTAAACATTCCGGGAACAACACTAATATCCGGACAATCAGCATCTGTCTGCAGTAGTCCAATCAGATCACGGTCTTGTTGTTTTTTTAAATTGACTATTAGTTCTTTTACTGCGTTTTCAGTCTGCTTAAGTTTATTTTCCGATAAAACAGATTTTATTCCCTTTCGTGGATTTAAGAATAAGGCAATATAGTGAAGAATGTCTGGCTTCATAATACGTTCGAATACATCCATTGCAGTTGCCTTTAACTCCGTTATTACTTTAGAATCTAACGGTCCTTCAAGGCATGTTGCTTGCAACTTTTGGTACCAAAAGCAATATTCTGTTATGACCGGGGTAGTTTGCGTGCTGACCAAATCAAAACATTCTTTAAAAGGCTTAAAAAACGAAACGACACAATCGAGAAGATGAAAATTAACGCCTGCGATTTCTTGCCACTCATTTCTTTCTATTAATGCTTGCTCAATTTCATTATAAACGTTAAAAATATTTTGAAGAGCACCAAATACAGAACTGAACCTTTCAGTTCCATTTTGGTTTATCGATAAAGATATTATGTTATTTAACTCTGAGCTTTCGAAAAAGTGTACCAAACTTTTTGATGCTTCTATTAGGTCCTGAATTTCCTTAATATTAACATTTTCCAAAACCTCTTTCATAAACAAGTTTATATTGTGGCAGATGCATGACACTTGTTTGTAGCATCGAAAGGCGTCAATGAACTGGGGCAAGTTGTCCGTTACAATTACACTCTGACCAAACTTTTCTTTTATTTGAAATTCATTTAATATGTCCATAACGAAGTAATGCAGCCGGTCACTAGTTTCTTTAGTTAACGAAGTGAATTCTCGAGTTCCCAATAAGGATGAACACATGACGAATTCGTCGTTAATAAAATGTCCTGTCAAACTAAAAAAGCTGCGTCGGGAACGCTCGTCGACCCAAACACTCGTTGAAAATGAAATATGATTATTTGTTAAAATGTATTCCAATTGATTTTTAGTGTTGAAATATTCTGCCGGAATTAAGCTATTGATCAAAATGGATCGAGAAACCAATATTTCATCCACATTTTGCTTTCCATACTCTGCACCTATGTTGATTAAAGCTTGTGCAAATTTTCTAAAACCATCACCTGTGAATAGAAGATAAAAAAGAAAACGAATGTAATGCACTGTTTATCGTCAGAGCAATTTATCCAATTACTAAAAAATCATTGAAAACCAGTAAATATTAATGGGAAAATTATAAAAAAATATATATGTATGTAGACACAATGAAACAAAAAAGAAGAGCTGTCTTCCTTTCTTTATCCGATTGATTCTAAATATTCCCGGTGAAGTTTTTACTTTCGGAAAAAATTTCATCGAAAACAAGAGTTGCTCTTAATTCTGTGTCTGAGTTTACACGGGAAGCCAGTATTAGTTATGAAGGACAGCACCCATTAACACGTGCAACAACCGCTGGACAGGACATTCATCAGGAATACGGCAACACCTTCAAAGACTCCCTTCCCGTGAATGGCGTACTCGGAGTAAAGTACAACCTATTACAGACAAAGAGCTCGAGCTGCCTGGAAAGAACCGCGTAACACTGGCAAAACTTAGGTCTGGATAATACAGCAGGTTAAACTAATACTTATCCAGACTCGACCCCTACATACCTAATGTATGTCCTGCATGTAAAGACTTCGCACGACACTTTACAATACATGCCACCTAAAACTGAGACATCTAAGCCCCCACTCCCTATGGTCCGATCCCGTCGGAACTGTATGTTTCATTTACCTCGCCTTAAGTGACTTCGATGATTCAGATTGATTAACCTGTCCCAAGGCTGGTTTAACGAACCGATACAACAACAATAACCGCAGATTGTATTCTTTGTAGCTAGGCTGTAGTGTTGGTACTTTGATTTTTACAGGCCTATTCTGTCGAGGTAACAAAATTTCCCTAGGTATTAATATTTACCATTCCGTAAATTTTGTTACCATTTCGTATTCTGAGCTTACTGTTACCCTGTAAAGTTTGTTACCAACGAAATAGGAGGTAACAAAAATATCTGCTGTTTGATTTTGTGTTGTTAGTTTCAGAAAAAATAAAAACCAAAATGGGTAGACATATTTATTTATGGAATTCATTGAAAATGAAGAAAAAAGTGCGAAAAGCCGTATTTTAAGAAGTTTTCGAGACAAGAAATAGCTCCTTAGTTTGTAAGATATCGTTTTCATTCAGCTTTTTTTTTTGTTGTCCAGGCATATTTTTTATAATTAGGTTCAAATATTTATGATTTAGTTTTTTGTGCCCCGTCTTCCATTTCGATGTGAATACTTTTCTTTTTACTTTATCAATCTGCAAATGTAATTTGACATGGACGAAAAAAGCAGTGCTGCCAAATTTTTTTCAAACATTTTAACCAGTTCGCCAGAATACCAAATTCAATTTCGGGTGTTAAGGAAAAGTAACAAACTTTACTTTACCGGTAACAGTGAGAATAGGACTGTTAGTGGGCGGAACTTAGGGTTGTATATTTTGCATGACCGTGAGTATTACTGTTATACGGCAAGTAGTAGTGTCTTTGTTGCTGAACCAACAACAAGTCAATCGATAACAAAAATTGACAAAATGTTATTGAGTGGTACCAAAATTTCCAGGAATGATGGAATGTACGCTCGGATAAAAAAAAACAAGTTTTTTCTCGTCATATAAAATTTCATCCATCATTTGCTATATAGCTTTTTTGCTGTTTTTTTTGCAATATTCTTACAATAAAAATAATAAGATACAATGAAGTTATACAGCGGATTGGATTAACCGTTGCATTCTATGTAGTGAAGGATTCAACATGTTGTACGGCTTGCTGCACAGCACATTGTATAGTGTGCTTATCATTGGACAAGGTAAGTCAGTATAGGTGAAGCTGGTAGCACGCAAGGCGAATTCAGATGAGGTGGTACGTGGTAGCACAGCTGTTTTCTTCTTCTATCGACTGCTGTATGTCAGTCAAAAAAAATATTGAAATGTAAACAACGCGACTACTTCATGCACGAGTGAAATATGTACTCTATGCGGGCAATGGAGTAATCCAAAACAAACCACAATTCATACAAAAAGTATGGTCCAATGAACACTGCGATGTCCAAGGGTTGTTTATATACCCACTCGATGCATGACACCCGAGTAATCCATGGAATACAAACATGTGATTAGTATTTAAACTAATCCGAAAATTATTATATTACTCAAACTTATGCACAGCTCACCAACAAATCGAATCTGACTCAATTTTCTACTCTACTCGTATATGCGAGTAAAAATAATATTGTGCACATATATCTCCGTTTAGTAATTACGTTCGTTAAAACACGAGCAATCATCGGCAAATTGATTTAAAAGTTGAATATAGGGAATACATATTGGATTACTCCAATTAACAAGTCAAGTATACTTGTAAGTCTGAACAATGGCACAAACACACACTTCGACTTTTGATGTTCGAATGTATTTATATGTGATATTAAACCGCTTACCTTCGGTGGTGCTGAGTGATTTTAAGTCCTTCAAGATGAATTCTAGTTGCGATTTTAATATGTCTTCTTTTGTTTTCTTGGGCAACATGCAACGTATAAAATTTGAAACGCTTTGTGCGGGCTGCACATTTTTTGGCGAACTAATGGACCTTACACGCACGCAGCGATGGCGCAACAGGCTGCCAGTTCCACTTCTAGGTGCATATGATAGAATTTCCGCGCAATGGTTACATCGTGCAAAGTTCTCCACATTATCTAAAAATTTTATTACTTGAAAATGCTTCCACACGGAACTTCTCACGGAGGTAGGTGTAAATAAAGAATATCTTTTATCGTCATTTCGTAAATCTTGCTCTATTTCGGATTTTCTTTTGCTACTCATGCTAAAATGTTGGTGTCAACAAAATTTATCACTTCACGCAAAAACACTACACATTTCTCGTTCGTGCTTGCTCACGCACGAAATCGTGATTATAGCACCATTGTTGCCAGATTTAAAAAAAAAGAGTTCTTTCGGAAAAATAGTGTAGAGATCAGTTTTTTTCTTTTTTTTTGAAATTTGAAATGAAAGGAAACAGAGTTCAGCCAACGAATTTTTATTTATCCTTATATTTTTATTAAAGCTTACCTGAATTGAAATTACTGGGTACGCTCTTAAAATACTTAGATTATTACAATTTCTAATGACATATGATTTAAGACTCAAATTTAAAAATGCATAAAGTTCAAAGAATTTATTTCTCCAAAGAGATAGCCAATCAGATTTAGCCAACACAAATTAACTAAAATGATGCTGCCATACCTTTGAAATTGCAAATAGTCATTGTCACAATAGTAATTATTTATTACTTAAACGATTATAATAAATTATGTGTTAAAATGAAGCAATTAGTTAAAATTTAATTGCATATAATTGGGTTGAAATATCCCTTTTATATACAAAATTTTAGTTTTATGAAAATGTTTAGAAATCATATTTTGTGGCAGCGCCGAAGAAGTCTACAATGACAAAAAAATCAATTAATTTGCATTCACCATCCGAAGCCGGTAGATGATTTTTTGATCAATTCTATTGGCGAAAGTATTACATTAATAAAATATACTAGCAGATTCAAGACTTTTTAATTGTAATTACAATATTTAACGATCATTGACCTAGTGGTTTATTGAGAAAGTGGATAGGATATGCATAAGATAGTGGTGATTCTCTGCCTTTTTGTGGCATTAGCTGCGTCTTCTGAACAAGATGTGCTGGAATTGACGGATGATACCTTCAGTTCTGTATTAAAACAGCATGAGACCACGTTGGTTATGTTTTATGCACCATGGTAAGTCATTAGTTTTAAAAATTTCAAATTGTTAAGAATATAGTATTAACATTTTCAACGGTACACAATCGGCATGGAAATAACACGTCATCGTTACTGGAGGCCATTTTTTTTTCTAAATTGGTTGAATATTTTGCTTCATATGAATAAAATTGTTTTTCTTATTGGAAAACCTAAGATGTTAGGTGCGCAGATTTTGAAATGTGTTAAGATCAATTGGAACTTGATGGTTTTAACAAATACATTTTAAAGACTGCCTTTGTAGCTTTATTTTTTTTTTTGTCAATAAATTTATTACAGGGTGCTCATTGAAAAGGTGGCTTAATTTGCTTTCTTTGATGGTATTTGTATCAAAAGGACTTGGAACAAAAATTCTGAAACATTACTGAAAACAAAACCTTATGAATCGCGGAAATATATGTATGTGTATGTCAATGTATCTTTTAAAGTTTTTAATGTATTGACTGTTGCAAAATATGCGGAAGTTACTCAAAAAAAAAAAAAAAAGAAGCGAATTAGAACTTGCCAACGTTTATAGAAATGTTTGAAATGTGACAAATATAACACTGATAAGACGTACAGAAAAATGCGCATACATGTAGCGATAAGACAGTTTCTTCATATCTGGTTTACTGTGTGTACTTACATCTTCTACTATTTGTTTGCCCAAATTAATACATTTACGATATGTTGTTCTTAATAATGAGTAAGATACTCATGATGTTCTTAATAATGAGTAGGATACTCATGATGGTCCTAATAATGAGTATTTAAACATCTTCCCTCGCAATGACATTTTACACATATTATTTTAATTTTTGATTTTAGGTGTGGACATTGTAAAAGACTGAAGCCTGAATATGCTAAAGCCGCAGAAATTATAAAGAGTGATGATCCTCCTATAACTTTGGCAAAGGTGGGTAATTTTTTTTAATTAACATAATACGTAAAGATTACAACATTTATTTTATTGGTACAGGTTGATTGTACAGAAGGCGGTAAAGAAACGTGCAGCAAATACTCAGTAAATGGTTATCCAACTCTTAAAATATTCCGAGGCGATTCAGTTTCTCAAGACTATAGTGGTCCACGGGAAGCAAATGGCATTGTAAAGTACATGAGAGCTCAGGTTGGACCTGCTTCTAGGACCATCAAATCTGTTGATGAATTAAATAAATTCTTAGACACTAAAGATACAACTGTCTTTGGGTTCTTTGAAGATCCTGATGTATCTCTCGCTAAACTGTTTCTCAAATTTGCTGATAAAAATCGCGAAAAGTATCGTTTTGGCCATAGTAGCGATCCCGATGTGCTTGCCAAATATGGAGAAACGTAAGTGAATTCAAGAGAAGAATTACCATAAAAGAATTAATCAAGAGACTTTTTCAAGGCTATTTCAATATTTTGTGTTTAGTTAAAAATATGTACATACATATTTACCTTGTAATCTCGCGAAAAATAAATTATATTTTTTATTTCCTCTATTAAATTCCAAAATTTTCTATTTATGTAATACACAGTGAAAAGATTGTACTCATCCGTGCCCCACATCTGGCTAACAAGTTCGAGGAATCAACTGTTAAATTTGAAAGCTCATCTGAATCCGAGCTAAGCACATTTTTGAAGGAAAATTTGTAAGTGGGCATACGTACATTTTTGAAACCTTAATAGTATTAATACATGTATATATTTATCTTTAGCCACGGTTTGGTGGGTCACCGGACGCAAGATACCATTCGCGATTTCAAAAACCCTCTTATTGTTGCATACTATTCAGTTGACTACGTTAAGAATCCTAAAGGCACTAATTACTGGCGCAATCGAGTTCTTAAAGTAGCAAAGGAATTTGTTGGCAAAGCTTCTTTCGCTATTAGTGCAAAGGATGATTTCCAACATGAATTAAATGAGTATGGTTATGACTTCGTTGGTGATAAACCAGTTATTCTGGCACGAGATGAAAAGAATCTCAAATATGCATTAAAAGATGAATTCTCAGTTGAAAATTTAAGAAACTTCGTTGAAAAGTTACTTGAAGGCGAACTTGAACCATATGTTAAATCCGAACCGATTCCGGAAAATAACAACGCACCCGTAAAGGTTGCTGTTGCGAAGAATTTTGATGAAGTGGTTATAAATAATAACAAAGATACCCTAGTGGAGTTCTATGCACCGTGGTGCGGTCATTGCAAGAAATTGGCTCCAGTATTCGACGAAGTTGCCGAAAAATTACAAGATGAAAATGTGGAACTTGTTAAAATGGATGCTACTGCCAATGATGTACCACCAGAATTCAATGTTCGTGGATTCCCAACACTCTATTGGTTGCCGAAAGATTCCAAGGACAAGCCGGTCGCATATAATGAGGGTCGGGAGGTAGATGATTTCATTAAATACATTTCAAAACATGCTTCAGAGGAATTAAAAGGATTTGACCGTGGTGGCAAGTCGAAGAAGACAGAGCTCTAAACAAGTATAAATAAAAGTATGATGATTAGTTAATGTTCCATTCTGGAAACGAACTAAGAATATGTTTAATAAATTTTTTTCCAATATTTAAATTTAAACATTCTACAAACACTAAGATCGTCAACTAAAGGCGCTCGACGATTTTATTCCTTTCGATCAAGCGTTTAATGAATAGTGATAAAACTAACATTTTTTATTTGAATAAAACATATAGATAAGAAATGTATTTAAATTTTATTTTTTAATTTACGGGCAAGAAAATAAGATCCATTATTTATTATTCTCTGGAATGGTTGGTTTGGATTTCATCAATTCGATATAGTAATCAGGCAGGAACGAATGTTCAGACTTCCCCTTAATACATTCGTATGTTATAACCCCTCGGCTGGAGTTAAAATAAAATTCAAATACAGTATATGGACAATTAACCTCGCCCATTAGTTGTCGTATCCGATTTAAAAACTCGATCAAAAACGTTACACATACATTTGGCATCCATTGGTTCTGTCAAAAATGAGGCATATAAAATATGAGTTGACTTTAAAAGGCACTCTAACTGCTTACCACTCCTTGTTTTGGTAAAGAGCGCACTTCCGTATGTTCAATACGTTCAACCAGTCCGCGTTCAGTCCTTAGGCCCACATAGATATCCTGAATACCAACTAAAAATGATTGGCACCACCAATTTCTGGTCTTATGACGATTATAAGACTGAATCTGATTCCTATTCAAATTTCCTTGTCGTAATTTTAGTTCAACAAATTTTATATTCTCTAAAGATGTCGCATTCTCTCCTTCTCTAAAAGTAATACTTAGCAATAAACACGACACCATATAGACACATAAAATAAATCTTATTACATACAGTGAGATCGGCTGTTCGCTAATTACTCCATCCATTTCGGCGCCGTAAAGCACTTCAATACCACCAAGTTTTGTTGTAAATACACACGAAAATTCGCCGCACTGATCAACTGGACTCTTAGTTTCCGGCTCAAGAAAAGGTGATCCTAGAAGGAAATATAATAAAATCACATTTTTAATCTATGCAGTCATACCTGATAGGCAATATTGTTCAAACTTAAAGCCCCATGAAGCAAATGTTTGTTGCTGTACAGTCTCCTGAGCGCGCTGTCTTTTATCATGTTCTGTGTCACGCTTACGTAGGTAAAAGGTGCCATTGAAACGAGTAACAACTATTGACCAATCACTTCTGTATTCATATGGCGTACACATCAATAATCGTAAAAGTCCTCGCCAACAGACAAACTCTGCATTGAGTCGTCTGAACTCGCAAGCTGCTAGAGGTTTTGTAACTTGGTCGCTGTGATCAAATATAAATTTGAAAATATGATCAAGTCCCTCGTCATACGCCGACTCTGGCTTTTTAATAGCGGAACTCAATCCGTCATTGAGGTCGAGTGGAAATTTTTTTGCTGGTGGAGGTACATAATAACGTAACTGCTGGGCTGTACATTCGTACTCCCTCAAAACTCCACCTACCACGCTAAAATATCCTATAGGTCTGGGCTTTTCAAATTGCGGAAAAGGCAAAATTTCGCCACGATTAGGCCTTACTCGCAAACCTGTATTTGCTTTAGAAAACATTTCTTCAAAACAAACGTCTGCTGATAGTTAAGACTAGAGATGAGTAATATGTATCATAAAAGCTTCACTAAAGTTCGATATTTGAATAGCTGCTAAGGCGAATTCAAAAAAGTGAGAGCAAGAGAACAAATACAACAATTACCGTTATAATTGTATATGTTGGTCTTCTTGCATAGATTTGATTGAATTTTCGTCAATAAACCTAAATTGATTTAAAATTAAAACAATATCAATAATTTAATATGAATGTTCTACCATCAAAATAGGTGATTCAATATATGTATGCATGTTATATTATATAAACATATTCTTCTTCTTAATTGGTGTTGGCACTGTTTACGCCATTATAACATCTGTTGGCAAGAGTAATTCTACATTGGATTTCCCTAGTTTTACTAAATTATCTATGTTCTCGTCGGTGGGATTTAGTCTTTCACACAATACGCTCGATAATACTTCTATGCGACGTTTAAAAGTGTAATCCCATGGTATCTGGCGCATACGGTAGCGGTCCCCTTTTTTAAAGATTGAGCAGAGCAGACATAAATTCTAATCGCCGGGCACGTTTCCTCCAACCATATTTTGCAAAGTAGCTGTTGTACCCTTTTTGTATTTTCAGGTATTTTTTTATTACTATAATAATGTACATTTACATAAGTAATAATTTGCTATTGCATAAGGTTTTTAAATAATAATCATTTCTATCTTACTAATAATGTATCACATATTCGAAATTCTTACAAGTTATGTACATAGCGTCGTACAAATTTCGCTTTGTGTATGCACAAAAATTTTATAATTAAGAAAATAAGAATTGCGGTAGCTCCATATCCCACAACAATGGCAGCACGCTTTCGTCTTCGCCATCTTTGGTATTCACGCCAGCTAGTGAAACGATTTCTATATTCATACTGCAGTTCGAATCGACTACGCTGAGGAAAGAACGAAAGATAGAAATCTTCTAATAAATGACGTATTAATTCATTATTTTCCGTTAGATGAGGCTCCAAATTGTCATTAATGCAATTGAATTTTCTGAAGAAGAAGAGCTTGTGCAAAAATTTAATCGAAAAATATTTTAGATTTTTATCTACCGTGGATTTCGTCGTATTTTGTCAAATCCGTCCACTACATCTGATACGTTTGAAGTTATCATCATAAAATTGTTATGGATTGCTCGTTTTGGATTTATGTTATATTTGTATCGAGCTCGAGTAGCGAAATTTGCTTCCAGAGCTTCTGCCAACAAATGACAATGTTCGACCAACTCTTTCGTTATAGTCGGCTAAAAATTTATATCTATTAATGAATATTGCTTTTGAATGTTTAGAAATTATATTAATACTAACCACATTTGAATCTTCATAACGTTCATATACTAAAGTCGAATATTCCTTATATGTTTTGTGTGTATCTTCATCTAAGTCACGGGAGCAGTTACTTACAACCTCTTCAAAATAACGAACTGCTGACCAATCTAATGGTAGCGGATACATTCGAGCCAAAAAAGTACGTACCTCACGGTCAGACCATGTATGCGAGCCATCGGTATCATACTCGTCAAATATTTGACCCACCGTTAAAGTTATAGTTTCACTCATCAAAAAGGAGTAATAGGTGAAAGCAAATTGTAAATCATTTGCTGAGCGAAACCGATTAGATACGGTTATATCTACCTCTTTAGAAAATTTTTCCTGCATGGCATCTACTATATAGCGATCTAACAAGAATCCCACATGTGCAATTACGTTGCGAGCTTTGAAACCGTAGTGATGATTCAGCAGCATGTTTGTATGTATTAAGGAGTGGGAATAGATGTCTTTGCTAAATTCGTTTTTTGATATTTTTCCAATTTGTTCTGAAGATTTATTGATAGTTTTTGGAGTGCTTGTAGAGAGGTCTTGCTCTTTGGTGTAAAAGTTTGACTTCATTTGGTTGTTATAGTTATCGACAATTCGTCTTAATTCTGCAAGAGTACTGAGATTCTTATGTCGAACTAGTTCTCTAAAGAGAGAACCATTGCGTTGTGCAGAATGATGTTTGTTGCGGAATTTTTTTCTCAAAGGAAAATGTCTTATGTCAACGTGTGTTGTTAAATTTCCTTGTTTTGGCTTTATATTCCTCGGATTTTTATTCATATCAATATCATTCTCTACCGTATTCTCTTCTTTGTCTGTTCCAAAAGAGCTGCAGTCACCACCGTCATACTGACATTTGGCAATATTACAATGTCGGTCGCATGCACCATCGCCGATATATGTCCAGGGGCAGTCTTCCGCACAATCCGGTACCATCCAAGCTTGATAGATGCGAACACCTTCGGATTTAGTATATAGATCTTCCGGGTAAAGCGGTGCACCAAGAAATATATCGTCATTCAAATAAAGAAAACGTTGTGAAAGGTGTGGAATACGATGTATGAATGTTTCGATAGAAGAGCTCGAAAATGTAGGTAAAAGTTCAGGTTTCGGAACGAGTACTTCATGGGGAACCACTGTAACTTTTTCAAAGCTGAGATCAAGCCAATGTGGAATTTGACCATTTGTGATGATATACACATGGTGAATCCAAGGAGCATATTTTTCCAGCGAGCGTAATGAGTAACGAAGTTCATTTTTATCGTCAAAGCGTGCTGGATCATAACTGGGATTATAACGTCTGATAGATTCAATAAATGCGGCGTCTGACCCGTTAACCCAAGTATATACTACATCTATGGGATCACAATGTGACGGAAATACTGCCGATTCTTTGCTCTTCAAATTAAAAAAAGTGTAAATACTTGATACTGACAAAGGTATATATCTCGAGTCCGAGGAATGTATTTATGTACTTACTGCGACAACAAACCACGTAACTATTGCTAACAAACTAAATATAAGTAGCAAATGTCTCCGACGAAAACGTTTCCAGTTATTCCTCAACATACGGATCCACTTCCTTTGAGCACGCATACTGTTCACCAATTTTTTAGCATTCTCAACATTTTATATATAATTCATTTGTTTAGTTTACTAGTGAATAGTGACGAGCCGGTTTCTTTTTGATAAATGTTCAAGGGCGAATTTATTGCAGATGTTAAAAAGGAGATTCACAGACTGTTCTAATTGTGTAACTTTGATTTCAAAATGTCAAAATATGAATTCGCTTAATATATCTCGTCTCTTTTGCATTTAATTCATAATAAATTTTCTCTTTAGAGCTTAGGTTTAACCGTGCCTCTAACCTCGTAGGTGTTTTTATTTAGGAGTCCATTTTTTTGTGAACATATTTTTACCCTACCAATACGACTTTTTTTTAAATACCAGTATTTAACGAACATTTCATTGGCTTTTTGTCCATCTAGAAGAAGTTTGCGTCGACCCAACAGAGGTTTTGATTGTGTTCGTTATGAGAAATAATTATTTTGCCCACTGAAAAGAGCTTCTCTCCCTCACAGTAAAGGTTGTTTGTTCAATATAATAACGATAATTTCCCACGCCCGGCCAAGAGCCTGCCTTAGGGAGGGTCATTTGTTCTAAAAATATGTACGTCTAATAGAGGTGTTTGTTAGGAGAGATTTTTGTCAAAATCATGGAAAACTCATTGGCTTATAAAAATGTGTGAAGTATCAGCTCCATTATTCTTTTAGGAAACCTCATTAACCTTGATCACTCAACTTAATAACCTTAGTAATCTCACATTGAATAGGATAACTTTTTTTTAAGCTAATGACAGCTGAAAAAGGGTAAGAATTAGTCGATAACGAAACGTCTCGGGGTGTAATAAAAATGAGTAGCAATTGTTATTATTATCACTTTATTTTGATGTATGATGTGTTATAACGAAATATATGCTTAGTATATTTTCCCAATTGAAATCGAAGTAGACTATAGATAATAAATAATAACAGAAAATTTGCAATTTATCTGTAAACGCCCCCAAAGGACCTGTGACGATCTTGAGAACTTCGGAAACAGGAAAAACATGATATATGTACGTATACGAATGATATGCCCTATAAGGCGAATTATCGTATGAAAATTCCCTAAACTAGATATGCTTCTGCCGAATATTATCGAATGTTATTCATTTATTTATTTTTTTATTTAATACTTTGTTTTAGTTTTTCAGTTATGATTTGAATAAACTATCATCAAAGTTAAAACATGTGGTTATGAAACAACTAAAGGTAATTTCATTATATTTCCTTCGTTGAAAAATGATTTGTTCTTGTACCCATTTTGGTACATTTGTATCACTTGTTGCTGTTTGAATGCTACTCTGCATGTCACGAGTTCGATATTCCTTTCGAACAATAATTTTCGACAATTGTTTAATTCGAATATATCACATGACTGTCATGAGCAGCTACAAAGAATTTTGCATTTTGACAGGGCGAATTTTCATGGGAAGGTGAAATCTATAGTATTTTTGCCATTATTTCCCTTTAATTTCGTTAAATTTTCGGTTCGGTTGCGTTTTAATTTTATATTAAATAGAATTTTATTTCGACGCTCGTAATATCTGAAACAATAACGAAGATGAAAATTGCGTTCTTGACGTTGTTCGTCATTGGTGTGGCAGCAGCATCGAATTCGGTCGTTTTAGTCTTCGCACCAGTGTAGGAAAATGAATTCGTCATACGTTTTTTCTTTAGTTTTATCTCAAAATATTTACAGACCAAAAATACCTGCGCTAGAAAGTATCGACTATGATAGCTTCAACGCAATTGTTAAGCCATTAGCGGAAGACCACATGATTGCTGTTATCCAAGAAGACGGAGTAAGTATTTTATGTTGGAAATAGATGTTTTAAATATGTGTTAATTGCTATTAATTTTTCATTTAGTTATCGTACAATGATTTCTTGTGTAAAAGCAACAGAACAAAAGAACAATCATGTTACTCTCGCCTACAAGGCATAACACCTAAAACTTTTTATAGGAGTGTTAATAACCCCGAGAAAGTTTTGCAGAGTTTAGATCCCAATAGTGAGACTATCATTATCTCAAAAAGTGGAAAGCTTGAAACGCCATTAAAATGCAAGGCTGGGAAAGTTGTGTTTTTCAGGTTCGAAGCAGAGCCTGAGTTGAGCCGCGAAGATATTTTGGAGACTCATGGTAATTTTTTTCACCTTATGCACTATTTAACTTTTCACAAGTAAACATATATCTTCTTTTCAGATTTTGCCATTTCAAATTTAATGAAACAGGTATCTTGTCCCACAGTATTTATGTACACATCTACACCTGAAAAGGAAAGTACTGTAATTAAACGTGCCCGTCGTGCACTTTCAATTTGGGAGACCGCCGCCCCAGAGGGTGGAATTATATTCTCTAACCCTAAGTTTCAAATATTCTTTACAACATTGTCTGTGACAATAGATAACACAAAGAAAGACATTACCATTAGCAGTATGAAAATCGATGAACACAACACAACCGATTTCACGGTCACTCTTGCAAGCAGTGATGGTGTAGACAATGTTACTTTTAATATTGCGCTAAAAGCAGGATACTATTACATGAAGCAATTGACTTACAATACGAATACACAATTCCTCACAAGTGATGTAAACGCACCTCCAGCATTCTCCTATTTTTGTGGCAATTTAACAGTTTCTTCACTCAACGGTAACAAACTCCTTTGGAACTCCCTCCAATTCCAAGCACCTTTTAGTAGCAAAGTCAATGCGGTAGGCGATTATTTTCAATTTGGGGATTCTTGGAACTGTGTAGGATTTGTTAGTCATGCAATCCTCGCTGGCTTGTTTGTATCCGTTATTTTGCTTGCGATACTTTTCGTCGGTATATGTTGGATGATGGATATCAACACAATGGATCGTTTTGATGATCCTAAGGGCAAGACAATTACAATAAATGCCAACGAGTAAGCGTTAGCTGCTTATTAGTTAATCGCTGGTAGCATAACGCCGCCCAACTGCTACTGTCAACAGCGTTTTTGCACTGTCAGTTGCGCACAGTTCATTCCCCTTATTATTTTATTGATATTTTATGATATCATATTGGTCATTATCTATTATATCTTTGGATGTTACATGGATAAGAAGGCATTATTCAATTAAAAATTTAAAAGTGTGGATATTAGAATTGCAGTAACAACAAATTCATTCTCTAGAGCAGATTATTGCGTTGCTTTTTCATATATAATTTCTGTTTTTTTCTAAAATAAATGTTTTAAAACGGCATTTCCAAGTTTCTACCAGAACTTTCATGAAACTTTCCATCTCTTACCTCAGCATCTACTAAATTTGACGATAATCAAGTTGTTTTGATGAGAATTGTGATTGAAACTTGAATGCGTAATATATTATATTATATCATTTATTTATTTTGGCTCATTAAAGTTTATATAATTTTTTTTTGAATAATTCCTGGGCGATTTATTGCTGCGATGCAAACATATTTTGTGTGTGTGTATGTTTGTAAATATCATTTAAACATCGATGTGGTGAAATACGTATTAATTTTCATTAATGAATAATCTATTTTTATAGTGTCATGTATTGCGATAGGCACAAAAAATTAAATTTTAAAATAAATAAAATATAAACTGTTGTCTTTGTTGATAATTCTGAATTTTCATTTCCCGTTAATGTATGACAGTAAATGTAGTCGTTAAATTTTTGACCACCAAACGTACATAATGTTTACTGTACAATCCTTTGGCCAAGTCCTTCTCAACTTGGTCAGTCTAACGGAGTGGAGTTGATTCGCTAAACTATGTCAATGTCGCCGTATATCTCGTACAGCTCATCGTTCCATCGGCAGGGGTATTCACCATTCCCAAATCGGAGAAGACCATAAATCTTACGCAAAACTCTTCTTTCGTAAATTCTTAACGCCGACTAATCAGATTGCTGTTGTTGTCATTGTAGCGATCTCATCATATGTTGTCATGGTTATTTGCTCTGCACCATACAGCAGGATGTCAACTTTCAAGACAGCCTGGTTCCGCGCACCGGAGTTGATCCAGATTCAAGTGATTCAGTGATTCAAGTTCAGGTAACATTAAGTCCACCAACGGCGCAACACATTGCAGCTGGGCTGAACCAAATCCTTCCTATCAGGGCTGGCGTCGAAAATAACCCTGGTCCGACAGATTATTTCCGCTGCGTGTGCCATAATAAACTCCATCATTCCTCCTCCTCGGTTAGAGGTAACCAGTTGCAATGGTTGGAATTATATTAAGATCCCAAGTGCCTCCCCAGCCTCCATGACATTGCCTTCAGCATCTTTACCCACTTTGGATAACCAACAGACCCCCACGTTCTTACGAAGCTCCCCGCGGCATAACTCCCACCAATAGCCACCCTTACCCACATCCAGCTCCTCTTCCTTCTCCTGTGCGAGGGCTACCCAGCAGCTCCTAATCCACCCACAGCTTGTTCCGTGTGTCAAGCCACAGTGCATCGGAACATGACCTCAGTCAGACGCAACTCCTGCACTGGCTGGTCCCATTTTCGGTCGTGCTCTGCATCGAGAGACCCGCGTGACACTGGCACAACTTAGGTCTGGATATTGTAGCAGGTTAAACTCCTACCTATCCAGACTCAACCCCAACATACTCAACGTATGCCCTACATGTGAAGAGTGTCCGCACGATATTAACTATCTCTTCATATGCCTTCTAAAACCGACACACCTAACCCCCCCTCTCCCTCTGGTCCTATATCGCCAAAACTGCACGTTTCCTGGCAATCCCGTTAGATGACCTCTTGGACTTAGATAAATTGACCTGTCCCTCATCGCCTATCTTGAGAACTGCATTACAAACAGTAATTAAACAAAATAAATTATAATATAATTAAAAAAATCAAAATAAAATAAAATAAAACAGAATAAAAATATTATATATTTTATATAAAATGAAAAAAAAGTAATCTGAAGCAAAAGTAAATTAAAAGATAAGAAAAAAAATTGGATGGTAAAAAATAAAATAAAAAATGTGAGATGAAAAAAATAAATAAATAAAATATCCGAAAACTAAATTTAATAAATATTTTTTAAATAAATATAGAATTAAATAAACCAAATTTGAATATGTATATCACATCATATGACAACACATCGAAGCATATCTAATTATAAGGCTTGGCCAGAGAACTTAGAATTATTATAAGTTCTCTGCTTAACTTCGTTTTACATCATATGACATCACATCGAAGCATATCAAATCATAAGGCTTAACTTCATTTTACATCATATGACATCACATTGAAACATATCAAATCATAAGGCTTGGCCAGAGAACTTAGAATTATTATGTAGAATTATTCTAAGTCCTCTGCTTGGCATCATTTTACTTCATATGACATCACATCGAAGCATATCACATAATTTTACATCACGTGACATCACATCGAAGCATATTACATCATTTTACATCAGAAGGCATGACATCACATCGAAGCATATCACATCAGAAGGCATGACATCACATTGAAGCATATCTCATCACAACACCTCAAATTATTATACTTTAAATAAAATCACATGATATTGCAACTCAACTCATCTAAAAACAAAGCGCCGTTCATTTCTTCCTTTTGTTGTCTGACGTCAACAAGAAATACCAGCCATGACCTTCGCCACATGGTCTTTCCAATAGAGTAGAGGTCTTTCTAAACAGAAAGCCGTAAAACTTATATTTACAACCTTAAGAGCGGGACGAGAATGATGAGCGATTTGTAGAGTTCGGTCTTTGTTCGTCGAGAGAGGACTTTACTTTTCAATAGCACCTCGTGGCAATACTAGCGCTAAGATGATTGAAATCATCTACGACTTCAAAGTTATGACTGTCGATAGTGAAGTGGAATCTGAGTCGCGAATGCGGTAGCAATCTATCTCATAAAATTCGGAATTTTATTCCGAAATCAAATTCCATTCAATTCTGTTGATTGACAAATACCGAGGAATCGACATTGTGTTGCCTATTAATTACTGCAATTTATGTACACACACACTAAGCAGATCAACAACCTCACAACTTGACTTGTTTTGTTGGTGCCATAGCCGACACTTTGAGTTCAGCTCTTATTCGTTGGTGGGTGAGTATTTTGTACGACCACCGTTGTGACCCTTAATGGTCGACTCTATTGAAGTCTAATTTGTCATGAAATAGTGAAATGCTTTTGCTGCAGCAGGGCACATTGAATTCCAGATGATGTAGATGATGTGGATGATGAGTCTTCTTGTGAATTCGCAATGCTCACAATGCTGTGTAGCAATCAATCTGTGTGCACCAATTGCAATACAATAGAAATGAGCAAAAGCGCAGTGACACCAGCAGTGGCAGCAACAATCGTAGCCACAATCAAAGTCACATCGATAAATGCCGCTCCATGCCATCATAAATAAATTTAGTGCATATGTATATACGTGCATATATGTACATATGTACAAGCATACAACGGAGCCACAACTATGAGGTGTGCAACAACAAACTATCAATACTAGCATAACCGCAAATGTCATCAACAGCCTGCCGCAAACAATGTGTACGTAGTTGATTGTGGCAGAAAAATGCTAAGGCTGAGCAGACGAAGAGAGTAGAGCCGGCTGCTTCGTTGGTTTGTATGGCGTGATGCATATCTTTTAGTTATCCATACAGTAGCCGTGCGACTGACTTGCATCTCTCTTATCAGTAATGCAATTTATGTTTCTGATGATATTGGCAGTAAAAAAGGTGCACTCGATATGTGTGAGTGTGTGCGTGTGTGTATGGTTTGGTGAATATTGGTGTAATGTCAGCACAATCACGTATCTGTCACAATCATGGAGTCACACTCTAATTGCATTAAGATTGGCCATGACAATAGTAGTTAGAGTCGAGCCGAAGTGGTTCAGCGGTATGTAGGGGAAAAAGGAAAATGGAAACGCAAAATGTCAAGTGTAAAGTGTAAAGTACAAGCAAATAAATGCGTCCGACAGTGGCGCACAATGCGAAGCATACACGTGATTGTAGTTGCACTTAAGTTGTGATTAATGTCGTTTTTCCTGTGCGAATTCTTGTGGATTTGCAAAAAATGGTTCGATGTACACAAAGTTCATACACAAATGGGAGACTAAAATTCCCCTGATTGTAGCTGGACTTGTTTCTATTGCTTACAGTCCAAGCAGCTCTCAAACTCTATCATCCAACTTGAAGCATTTTCAAAGGTGCGATGATGGGAAGAGGTACTTCCATGTGTACGAGGCAAGGTTGACAATCTAATAGAGTATATACAAACATATATTGGCGCTTTATAACCGCAAAAGTGATTTGCGACCGATCTCCTTCTCTAATCAAAGCTGAGAGTGCTACACACACTTCTAACCACTAGGCTACTGTGATCGCAGTCAATTGAATTTCTCGCCGCAAAGCAGTTAAAAAAGAAGGCGAAGGATTCAAAGATTGCTTGGATGTCGGTGCTCGAAAAAGCTCTCGTCCTTTTCTCCATCGGGGCATGGATACAAATCAGTGATATGTGGCGAGGCTTTCTTTGATTCATCGGTATGAATATCAGAACTCCTTAACCGAGTTTCAATCCCATGACGAACACGAAACCAACTTTACGCTGCTTTATATGCTGCTGGGCAGTGGCATCTTCCGAATTAATAGACCAAACATTGCAGGTGTATTCTCTCATATCGAAGTTTTTGTCAAGGTCGTCATTAAAAATGGGATTTCTCATCCGAGACTGTTGTTTATTGTTTTTTCTATGCCGCGGTTCCCAAGTCTTTCCACAGCAAGCCGCATGCTTCATGACCGACACAAGTTCACAGCTGGAACTCCGGTGAATGAACGCTGCAAAAGGGCTCTGGAGGCAGTAAACCAAATAAGTTTTGACTACCACATCTCACAGAATGGTTGTTCCCGTCTCCAGGGTATGGAACAAGGGCAAAAGAGCAGGAAAAATACTCCAATGTCGAGGTGTAGTGATGCTTCTTTAAGCTATCCAGTGGAGTAAGATAGGAGTAACGTTAAAAAAATCCCAAAGGAAGCTTTTATTTTATGGCTGAAAATATTAGCTTTTGATGGAAAGTTCTTCAGTCGCGATAGTCGAGTAGTTAGCATTGCGTACTGCCATTCGGAATGCCAGGGTTCGAGCTCTGGTGCGAACAACATTCAAAAGTTATAGAAAATTAAGGAATGGCAACCCCTCCGAGTGAATTTCTAAAATGAAAATCAAAGTTCATAAAAAAAAACAAAAAAAAAAAAAAAAATAATTCGAAAGGCTTGAAGGCAGCCTAGTTTAAGCTGTAGGTCTCTCCAATTATCAACCAAAAATCGTTTAAGCGATTAAAAAGAGCCAATTATATATGTATTTATATATATATATGTTTACCTTCAACCGACTGGAACAGACTTAAAATCGGCGGTCTCTATCAATTCAGGAGTCCTTCGAACTCGGCTTAAAGTAGTAGAACCTTCCATTTACCGGAAACGTATTACGAGAAATCACTGTGCATTCTCGATATCATGCGCCCTACACCACTTCAGTTGTGGTCGCATATTGCGGTTACGTTAATGTGCAACTGACATCTGACCTGACGTTGGGCAAC